CAGGATGCGTGTGGGCAGGGAGCTTATGTTTCATTGATTGACATTATATTTTTTTTCAAGGATTCTCCAGAGGCAAATGGATGCCTATCAAAGGGAGTCTCCTGGGGAAAGGAAGTGAAGGTGGCTGTTATGAGAGAGGGAGGAAGGGACATGACTAGGTGAAAAATAATAATGATAATAATAATTTAATAACGAAGGTACGTGTTGGGTCGTAAGTATCCACGCAAACACACATCCAGTCAAAATAAGGCACTTGTCAAAGTATCCGAACGTTTTCGGTCCCTTCTCATCAAGGATTATACAGGGAATGGCTCAAGTTGGAAAGACTAAAACTTATATAGCGTAAAGATATGAGATAACAACACTCGTGACAAGGTGGAAAAAGTATCAAGTTCAGCACGACACAAAACTCGAAGGAAATAATAATAGCGACAAGAACATAGTGAGCAAATTAAGTTACATTGTTAACACCTCGACGAGGAGTAACACCAAACAATTGTAGCGACAACACATTTTCTTTCTGTACGCAAAGTTCAGGATCTAACTTACGGATATACAAAGCTTTTAACACAGCCAGATGCAACGCACATCTACCACGTGACAATATTGAGAACACATTATCACTGTACAACTCACGACAATTGGTACGGGCTGACAGATGTTGCTTGATGGACGAAGTGCGATTCTTAGCTCCGTTGGGTGTAGTCTCCTCCAATGTCCCGTCATCTCGCCTCTTCGCGGCATCACCACTATCCGCCTCTTTGCTTTTCCGCGGCCTTCCACGTTTTCTGACACCAGCCGTTGTGTGCGCGATGCCCAGTGTCCTTTCAGCTACGTCTCCTCCATTGCGGATTTCTATTGATCTTCTTACTCCAACTTTTTCCACCTTGTCACGAGTGTTGTTATCTCATATCTTTACGCTATATAAGTTTTAGTCTTTCCAACTTGAGCCATTCCCTGTATAATCCTTGATGAGAAGGGACCGAAAACGTTCGGATACTTTGACAAGTGCCTTATTTTGACTGGATGTGTGTTTGCGTGGATACTTACGACCCAACACGTACCTTCGTTATTAAAGTATTATCCGCCTCCGACTTCTTGATAATAATAATAATAATAATAATACAAACAGGAACAGCAGTTGTGACGCACAGGTTACCGTTGCTGTGTGTTACTGTTGCTAGGGTTACTGTTGCGGTGTGTAGCTTCACTCCTGACCTGCAACTGGTCTCTTTACTGCGATTCAAATGTATACAGGACAAAATAATCGTGCCAGGCATGAACGTGTTGCGTAATATAAAATTTAATTTGATTCGCAGTAAATAGATCGTTGTGAAGTTAAAAGGAAATAGCTCGTTGTGAAGTTAAAATAATTTTTTTTTGTCTAAGTGGCTGCGTTGGAGTTTGCGGACAATAAAAAAACGGGTAACTGCTGGAAAAAACAATAGCAGTTGAGCCGTGTCTTCATTCCACTGTCCGTTTTGCGTGTGTGCTGCTCCATCTCAGTTCCGGCGAGGATTACGTACACCACGCCGGACACCGTTCTAAAAGAAGGCAGCCCTGCCACGCTTGACTGCCAGTACGAAGGAGATAAACCGGTGGCAGTAACTTGGTTCTTCAATGGACTCCAGTCTGCAACGCAGACCAACCCACTGGTCTTCAGCAGCGTCTTGACTGCGGCTTCAGGTAACTACACATGCGCTGTCAGTAATGCAAACGGCAGCGACTCCAGGACCATAATACTGAGAGTGTTTGGTAAGTTCCGGGTGCGTGTTCCAGATTCAGTTTAATGAATATATAAATAAACCGAAGGAAAAACGAGAGAGCTTGGAAGCTCAGGGCCCTACGCTATGCTTCTTTCGCCTAGCTCATCATGCATGTTATTAGAACTGATGGAAATGTTTTTTTCTTTTGATTGGCTATAGCGTTTTATGTCGATCATGACAGCTACAATGCCCAACCATACCTGAACGAACTGATTGGCTACATCATCGTATTCCAAAAAGTTTCCATCTGTTCGAATGACATGCATGATTTAGGTAGGCAAAAAAGCATAGCGTAGGGCCCTGATCGAAAGAAAAACACTTTCTCTTTGCATTCGAGGGTAATATGACACAGTCTACCACCTTGATGACCTAGGCAAAAAAGCATAGGGATGGTATAATTTTTTCCTTTTCCTTTTATTTTTTGTAGACATAACCTAGGATTCGAACCCGCACTATCGCCCTGCATGCATTCTCCCGATACAGTTCGCATGCATACTCATTCTTCCAAGTTGCTTCACGTTATGATCTTGCATTTAAAAGCCCTATTTGAATATTGTGGCCAGCTGTCTTTGATGGTACGGTACGGGACAGGTACGGGATAGCGCCAGGCATGCCGACGGCACAAACACACAAACACACACGGAATATTAAAGCTGTGCGGACCCTGGCTAGCGCCAGACGTTACTGAAGTAACGTCTTTTGCATAGCTACAGGAATAATATAAAACATTACTCTGCTCCTGAGCCAGTGAAGAGAAAAATAATACAGTAAAACCTGATTTAAGCGACCACCCTATCGCATGGAAACGAGTCATGAAGCAACTATGCACGACTGTAACAAGATCATAAGCAGTCAGAAAGTGCAATAACAAGGCACAAAACGGACAGACCACCGAGACATTCAACGACCTGAGGCCTAGCTCTAACACATCTCCAATGAGCAAACCAACAGCCTTCCAGCTTGGAAGTTTCAAGGTTATGGTAAGACCAATGAGGGGAAGGCGAGCGCAGCGAAAATGTGCACAAGCTAAGTCCCACGGTAACAAAGAATGCCGACCATGACAGGACGATGACGAGACCCATTAATAACTCATCGGTCTCTGTTAGTATTATAGTCATGTGTTTGTCGAAATTTCCAACATTCCCTGTACTATCCTGAGGAGAAGAGAAAGAATACGTTTGATAGATAAAAGGAAATGTCTACTTGATTGTGTGCATTTGCATCTTTGCATGCGAAAGTATAGATTGAGGGAATATGACAGAAAATAAATAAATGCGTCGCAATGGGAGCATTGTCATGTTGAGAGCACATGAGCTTCCATGTTCTGTTGTGGAGATTGACCAATCCCGGTGATCAACCTGGGTGAGAGGCAGTACTTAGACGCATAACTGTCAACATTCCCTCAACCCTGGAACCTTTGCATCCGTTGCATTATTTCCATGAAAAAATTCATCAAATTCCAATTCGTTACTTGTACTACTCCCTCATTGATTTGTTTCCGTCTTCTCTTTGTGCCTTGTTCATGATTGTATTTTCCTCTTCCTCCTTTTCTTATATCACCACGTTCATCATTTTGTGAGAATTGTGGCAATACACCCAGTGAGAAGGCAGATTTTGCCTGTGCTTCTGGTGAAGTAAAATAAAGCTAAACAAATAAACAAACAAACAAACAAACACACTGAGTGCGTAAACACAATATCCCACTACCCGCATGAACCAGCAGTGCTCATGGGTGCATGGCCATCGCCCTGTGGGCGCCTGGCTTCTCAACAGATCTCAATGTCCACAATAAAATGTGAGCTGTGATCATTGTAAAAAAATAAATCAATAAGTAGGCTGCCTTGTACTCCTCCGCTCCCGTACATGCTTTGTTTCAAATCTTTATTCTCACAATAGCCAGTGGCCAACAGTGCGAACCTGTCCTATGGGCAGGTGAGAAGGCATCTCTGCCTGTTCATTTGGTGAAGTAAACTAAACAACAACGCTGTCCAGTTTGCAGGTAATCGCTCCCAGTACACCCCCAATGTCCGGCACCCCTCCGCCTACAGGCACTGGGGCAGGCCACGACGACGGGGCCACCACTATTGCCTCTGACGATGCGGATTGGATACCCTACGGTCCTCGTCGTCGCCAACACAGCCACGGCCATTCGACCATGGAAGAGAAAGCCAAGGCCGATGAGACATGGTCTTCCCCTCAGAGGAAACACCCGAAATACTGAGTCCAAATAAGTTTCAACAACTAGCCAAAAGAAAAACATAAAAAATTTCCGAAAAAAATCCATACCAATGTCAGTGAATTTGAACTTTCTCAGTACAAATGCGCGTTGCTTATTCAACAAAATGGACGAGTTACTTACCTTTGCCCGTTCGTGCTCTGAATCTCAGAACGAACTATCAGTAGTTGCTGTCCGGTATCCTGCAGGCACGGTGACCAGGTGACTGGTATACGCAGGAGCATGTGACCGCTTGTTCAACCATGTTCGATTGGGAATAAAGGAGGAACGCTATATTGCAGCCTTTTCGGACCAAAACCAGTCGACTCAGGGTCAAAAAGACTACAACATATGAGACAATCGCGGTCATCCTTGCTTTTATAAGAACGAAATGGCGCTTTTAGTGACATTTTGCATACAAATCCCCATCAAGTAGGGCGCAGTCACCCAGTTTCAGTGGAAGTGCGCGAGTTCGATTGGGATTCAACTAGGAAGGGAGCTTCTCAGCTTCCTCGGACCACGACAATTCGACTCAGCACGCCGAAGACTACAACTGGTGAATTTTTGATTTTAGCCTTAACTTCCCCTAGGCTCTACCCACCCAATTCTTCCCCACTCTTTCTCCTTTCTTACACTATTATCTCTTATTGGCCACTGGCTATCGTGAGAATAAAGATTTGAAACAACCCCCTCCCCTACCTCTGAAACGAACACAGCCTGCTATGCTGAACGACGAAAATCGCATGCATGTACATGTCATAATTATGTACAGTGTCGGTCGATTTGGGATTTTGGCTTACACCCCTCCCCCCCCCAAATGAATCATGTTCGTTTCAGGGACAACAAAAACTTTTGCGACGACCCCTAAGGTTTGAGGGTCGCACTGAGATCATTCTGTTTCCGGAGTGTTGTCATTCCTCCCCAGCACCACCCGTTGTGGATACGTTCTTATTATTATTCTATTTCCACTTTGTTTTTCATCCTTCCCCAGTGCCACCAATCGTGGACACGTTCTCAGCCGTAAACACTACCAGACTGCTAGGTGAAAATGCAACCTTCTACGTCACCCTGAAACAAACACCCTATCCGATGCCAGCAATCACATGGACGCACAACGGATCTCCGATCAACACAAGCTCCCACAGGATGCTATTGTCCAGTAGTGGCTTGTCGTTGACACTGACGAATTTGCTGCCCCGAGACAGGGGAGTCTACAAAATCTTGATGAGCAACTCCGGAGGAAGTGACAACCGGACGTTCTCCATGGATATTCTGTGTACGTGTCAATGTTTGCTGACCTAGATACTGTCCAGATGTCTCTCTGTTAACCTGTCTGCCCCCTCCCCCCTCTTCCAGAATATAACTACCTGCCTGCCTGTGCTGCTGTTGTTGTAACTAGGCAAACAAACAGGAATCCTTGGCCAGTGATCTGGTCCTACGCACACAAACTCACGCACTCTCTCACTCTCCTTTCCTCCCTGTCTCTCTTTTTCTGTCCCCGTCTGTCTATCTGTCTGTCTGTCTTCCTCTCTCTCTGTCTCTCTGTGTGTCTTTTTCTTTCTCTCTCTCTCTCCCTCTCTCCCTGTGTTTCTCTATCCCTCTGTCTACATATGTGTGTGTCTCCCTTTCCCTCTCTCTCTCTCTCTCTCTCTCTCTCTCTCTCTCTCTCTCTCTCTCTCTCTCTCTCTCTCTCTCTCTCTCTCTCTCTCTCTCTCTCTCTCTCTCTCTCTCTCTCTCTCTCTCTCTCTCTCTCTCTCTCTCTCTCTCTCTGTCTCCATATATATGTATCTCTCTCTGTCTCTCTCTGTCTCTCTCTGTCTCTCTCTCTTTCTTTCTCTCTCTCTCTCTCTCGGACGGTACAAACCTTACGATCCCTGCCTGACGATGTCAGGGAGGAAGGTCGCTTTCATTGATACCGAAGAGTTCAAGTTCCTGGGGCGGAGGCTGCATGCGGGGAGCTCTGAGCAGACCCAGCGGGAAGACATCCGTCAACTCACTGTATCTCTCATGCAAAAAGTAGATAGCTCTTGGCTTCAAGACCACCACAAGCTATGGCTTTACCACCATCTTGTAGTGCCCAAGCTTTCTTGGTCTTTCCAAGTTTTTGAACTTAGACAAGGTTTTGTACGTGAACAGCACTTTATGTGTTTACCATTTCTGAAGAAATGGTCAGGCCTACCTCGATGCCGAAACTCTGCCATTCTTTTGTTGGCAGTCGCAAACGCTTCGACTTATGCCTCCACTACCTTCCTACGGTGTGTAAAAAGTGCCAGTCAATCAAATGGCACATTCTTCGATCGAGTGGGGACGCGCGCATGAGGGCGCTGTACACTCTGCGTCGGAGTAAGGATGCGAAGCTGACGAAGCGTATGCGGCGATAACAGAGCTGGAGTGTGCAGAGGCATCAGTAGGTTCAGGGACTCTCCGTCCACAGTCATCGTCAAGTCATCGTGCAGGGTTGGGTGCTCGTGCTCCGAAGCAGCATTCCAAACCCCCGAGGAAGGATCTCCTTCAAACATTTAAGGAGATCAACACGCAGGAGCAGATTTTGAGGCTGAAGGCTCTTCAGGTGGAAGGTAAGTGGTTGGAGTGGACATCGGTGATGTGGCAGGATCTTTCGTGGAAATCCCTTTTGTACGGTGGTACTGGTAAGGATTTGAAATTTCTTCTCCCGTCAACCCTGGACGTGCTACCTTCTCCGATGAACCTACACCATTGGGGAAACACGGTAGTGGTTCCGTACTGTAGTTTGTGCCGTGCCTGGGCCTGTACTACGCGTCACGTGCCTGGCGCTTGTCGTGTAGCGCTGGACCAGGGACATTACACCTGGAGGCCCGACAACGTACTCGGGGTCATCGTCAGGAACATGCGTGAGGAGATTCGAATCCGCGCTGCTGCAAACACCGTACAAACCGAAAATTCAAATGAGCTTGACTTCATATCGTTGTGCAAGGCGGGAGAGAAGTCAGTTCGCGTTCAGCCCAGACGAAAGTTGGTTACGACTGATCTCCTGTCAGCAGCCTCAGACTGGAAACTAATTACTTCTTGTTGACTCAGTTAGTGCAATGATTTCTTTCCCTAGCCGTGTTGCACTTACCACCCAAAGACCAGATATAGTTCTGTACTCTACGAGTCGTAGGATTGTATTCTGGATGGAGTTGACAGTTTGTGCTGAGGACGGATTCAGTGTCAGTAACTCGCGGAAGGACAGGCGGTATGAGGATCTGGCCGATCAATGCCGAGCAAACGGGTGGCAGGTCGTTTCTTTTTTGGTTGAGGTAGGTGTACGTGCTTTCATCCCGGACTCTCTTCTGAGGGCTCTGAAAGCGCTTGGGTTTTCTAATCGAAGAATAAAAATTATTTGTAATTTGTGCAGTAAGACGTCTCTGCGAAGCAGCTACATAATCTTGTTGCGACGTCAACAAAAATACTGGTCGGAAGATCCACTTTTCTGAGGTACTGTATGTGGGGCTCCGTTTATTGAGGTGCGTTGAAATTTATTCTCTTTCTCTTATTATTATTTTCTTTTCTATAATTTCCCCATATGAGTTCCTATCAGTTGCTGTGAACACCTTGAGTGTAGAGCGTTGAACTGGGTTCTTAATCCACCATACCCAGTTCGCAAGGCTGGGCGGGGTTGTGAGCAGGCTCTCATTTCATCTTTTCTTATTATTTCTTGTTATTTCTGCTTTTCATCTCATTACAAAAATTCTGCGCATTTTTTCTCCATCTGCGCGTAAAATCTAGACTGACAACCTGCTTGTTAAATCATGCACCTGCTTTCAGGCGTAAAAACCTGTTGTAGAGGTCTCAGTCCTCATTTGTTAGACTTACCTGTCTTTATAAATGTAACTTACTCTCTCTCTCTCGCTCTCTCTCTCTCTCTCTCTCTCTCTCTCTCTCTCTCTCTCTCGCTCTCTCTCTCTCTCTCTCTCTCTGTCTCTGTCTCTGTCTCTGTCGCTCACCCTCTCTCTGTCTCTGTCTCTCTCTCTCTCTCTCTCTCTCTCTCTCTCTCTCTCTCTCTCTCTCTCTCTCTCTCTCTCTCTCTCTCTCTCTCTCTCTCTCTCTCTCTCTCTGTGTGTGTGTTTCTGTCTCTATCTCTGTCTCTGTCTCTGTGTGTGTGTGTGTCTCTCTCTTTCTCTCTCTCTCTCTCTCTCTCTCTCTCTCTCTCTCTCTCTCTCTCTCTCTCTACCTATCTCTCTCTCTCTCCTCTCTCTCTCTCTCTCTCTCTCTCTCTCTCTCTCTCTCTCTCTCTCTCTCTCATCCATGCTTTTATATGACCGAAATGGTGCTTTCAGTGACATTTTGCATACAAATTCCCATCTAGTAGGGCGCAGTCACCCAGTTTCAGTGCAAAGCCTTCGATACAGTCTGGCACCCGGGGCTTTTGGCCAAGCTTCGTGGATCATTTACTGTAGACGGCAATCCCCTGTTTTGGCTGACATCTTACCTAACTGGGCGAACGCAGTACGTCACGGTACGTGGGACGTCCTCAGCCGACACAACAGTACTATCCGGAGTTCCCCAGGGTTCCATCCTCGGCCCCCTTCTTTTTATCTTATACGTCAATGATCTGCCCGCAGCTGCCCCGGGCACATCACTTTTCGCAGACGACACAACACTCCTACGGGCATCTCCTAACATTACTGGCCTGATGAGTAACCTAGCTAACGGGATTCAAAGAGTAATTTCCTGGATGTCGTCTTGGCGGTTATCGCCCAATCTGTCTAAAACTAAAATCCTGCTCTTTCCTTCTCAGCCCGATGTTCCGCCCCTCCTCCATCCCACTTTCCCCCAGCCTATAGTCATAGTCTCCAGCCATAAGCATCTTCGCATTTTCATTGACTCTAATCTTTCATGGGAACCCCACATCGATTACATATGTAAACGATCAAGTTCATCTTTAGGAATCCTCTCTTCTCACTGTTACCATCTCCCAATCTCTTGTAAACTCCTCTTTTACTCAGCTTACCTACGCCCCATTTTTGATTATGCAGATACTGCTTGGGCTGGAATTTCCACAACCCGTGCTGCCAAGCTCAAAATTCACCACAAAAAAAGTTCTCAAAATCATCCTCAAAACCCCGCATGCGCCCATCTTCCATCCTTTATGCCCTTCATGACACTACCCCTTTTGTCTAAGAGACGTAATTCACATCTTTTCACCCTTATCCATTCTCTCAAACTCAATCTGTGTCCACCTCACCTCCACTGTTTCAACTGGTTCTCTTCCCGTAGCACGAGAAACTCCCTTTACTTCCCGAACCTAAGTCCTCCTTTCTACTTCACTCTCCCTTTTCACTGCGTACTCTGCGTGGATGGCACTTCCCCAAGAACCTAAGGACCTTTCTTCCCTCCGCCTTTTTAAAAGCCTTGTTGCGCCTTGACTTTGATCTTGTGTTTCTCATTTTGTTGCAATCACAGCTTATCTTCCTTGTTCTTCTCCTCCCCTTCTCCCTTCCTTGCCGTGGTTGGCTAACACCCTCTCTCTTTGCATTGGCCGGTGTTCTCACTGTGCTATGAGATGCTGTAATTAATAAATAAATGAATAAAGTGCGCGAGTTCGATTGAGATTCAAGTAGGAAGGGAGCGTCTCAGCTTCCTCGACCACGACCATTCGACTCAGAAAACCGAAGACTACAACTGGTGAAATTTTGATTTTAGCCTTAACTTCCCTAGGCTCTGCCCACCCAATTCTGCCTCACTTCTTCTCCTTTCTTACACTATTATTTCTTATTGGCCACTGGCTATCGTGAGAATAAAGATTTGAAACAACCCCCTCCCTTCCTCTGAAACGAACACAGCCCGGTCGATTTGCGATTTTGCCTCACACCCTCTCCACCCCCCCCCCCCCCCAACGAATCATGGTCGTTTCAGGGACAACAAAAAAACTTTTGCGACGACCCCTAAGGTTTGAGGGTAGCACTGAGATCATTCTGTTTCCGGCGTAATGTCATTCCTCCCCAGCACCACCCGTTGTGGATACGATCTTATTCTTATTCTTTTTCCACTTTGTTTTTCATCCTTCCCCAGTGCCACCAATCGTGGACACGTTCTCAGCCATAAACACCACCAGACTGCTAGGTGAAAATGCCACCTTCCACGTCACCCTGAAACATACACCCAATCCAATGCCAGACATCACATGGACGCACGACGGATCTCCGATCAACACAAGCTCCCACAGAATGCAATTGTCCAGTAGTGGCTTGTCCTTGACACTGACGAATTTGCTGCCCCGGGACAGGGGAGTCTACAAAATCTTGATGAGCAACTCCGAAGGAAGTGACAACCGGACGTTCTCCATGGATATTCTGTGTACGTGTCAATATTTGCTGACCTAGATACTGTCTAGATGTCTCTCTGTTAACCTTTCTGCCCCCCCCCCTCCTGAACATAACTACCTGCCTGCCTGTGCTGCTGTTGTTGTAGCTAGGCAAACAAACGGGAATCCTTGGCCAGTGATCTCCTGGTCCTACGCACACAAACTCACGCACTCTCTCACTCTCCTTTCCTCCCTATCTCTCTTTTTCTGTCCCTCTATGTCTATCTGTCTGTCTGTCTCCCTCTCTCTCTGTCTCTCTGAAGGTCTTTTTCTTACTCTCTCTCTCTATATCTCTCTCTCTCTCTCTCTCTCCCTCTATCCCTGTGTTTCTCTATCCCTGTGTGTGTGTGTGTGTGTGTGTGTGTGTGTGTGTGTCTCTCTCTCTCTCTCTCTCTCTCTCTCTCTCTCTCTCTCTCTCTCTCTCTCATCAATGTTCTCTTTCTCCCCTTTGCAGTTCCTCCAGTCGTCTTACATAACTCTGTGTTGAACAATACCAGACAACTTGGAGACAATATCACCTTCACGATCTACCTGACCCAATCATCGAATCCATCCCCAAACTTGTTTGTCTTCCACAATCACATCCCTCTCAGCCAAACATTATACAGGAGAGATTTTTCCAGAACCAAAGATATTTTTATGGTAACAAGAATTCATTTGAAAGTTTCCGATGGTGGCTTGTATACATGTGTCGTGAATAACACCCAAGGTTCAGACAGGGTCACGTTTCGTCTAGATGTTCAGGGTAAGTTCCGAGATTGGTATGTCTGCATTCTCCAGTCTACTGCTGAGTATGGTGGTGCATTTGGCGCCGTGTATGTGTGTGTGTGTGTATATGTGTATGTGTATGTGTATGTGTATGTGTGTGTGTGTGTGTGTGTGTTTGTGTGTGTGTGTTTGTGTGTGTGTGTGTTGTGCGTGTTGTGCATGTGTTTGTGTGTGCAGGGGTGGGGAGGGGGGGGGGGGGGAGGGGGGAGGGAGGTGAAGACCAAGTGACACTTTGTTATTATCATTCTATTTCCACTTTGTTTTTCATTCCTCCCCAGCACCACCCGTTGTGGACACATTCTCAGCCTTAAACACCACCAGATTGCTCGGTGAAAATGCCACCTTCTCCGTCACCCTGAAACACACACCCAATCCAATGCCAGCTATAGTATGGCTGCACAATGGATCCCTAATCAACACACGCTCAGACAGAACGCAATTGTCGAGCAGTGGCTTGTCGTTGACACTGAAAAATCTGTTACCCGCGGACGGGGGAGTTTACACCATCTTTGTGAACAACTCTCTGGGAACTGCAAATGCAACATTCTCAATGGATATTCTGGGTGGGTGTGTGCTGGTGGTTGTGCCAATTTCTGTCCATCTGTCTCTATCTCAGCTCATCTGTCTCTATCTCAGCCCATCTGTTTCTCTTTCAGCCCATCTGTCTGCCTGCCAGTATGAACCTTCCTGTACGATCTGTCCATCTCTCTATCTGTCCATCTGTCCATCCGTCCAACCATCCATCCGTCCATCCGTCCATCCGTCCATCTCTCTATCTGTCCATCCGTCCGCCCGTCAATCTCTCTATCTGGTCGTCCGTCCATCTGTCCATCCATCTCTCTATCTGTCTGTTCGTCCATATCTTTATCTTTCCGTCCGTCCGTCCGTCCGTCCATCCATCTCTCTATACATCTGTCCATTAATCCCTTGGCTCTGCCCACCCAATTCTTCATCACTCTTTCTCCTTTCTCACACTATTATCTCTTATTGGCCACTGGCTATCGTGAGAATAAAGATTTGAAACAACCCCCTCCCCTCCCTCTGAAACAAACACAGCCTGCTATGCTGGACGACGAAAATCGCATGCATGTACATGTCATATGTACAGTGTCCGTCGATTTGCGATTTTGGCTCACATCCCCTCCCCCCCCCCCCCCAGCCCCCCCCCCCCAACGAATCATGGTCGTTTCAGGGACAAGGAAAAAAAAATTTGCGATGACCCCTAAGGTTTGAGGGTCGCACTGAGATCATTCTGTTACCGGCGTATTGTCATTTCTCCCCAGCACCACCCGTTGTGGATACTTTCTTATTCTCTTTCTATTTCCAATTTGTTTTTCATCCTTCCCCAGTGCCACCAATCGTGGACACTTTCTCAGCCGTAAACACCACCAGACTGCTAGGTGAAAATGCAACCTTCTACGTCACCCTGAAACATACACCCAATCCAATGCCAGACATCACATGGACGCACAACGGATCTCCGATCAACACAAGCTCTCACAGGATGCAATTGTCTAGTAGTGGCTTGTCGTTGACACTGACGAATTTGCTGCCCCGGGACAGGGGAGTCTACAAAGTCTTGATCAGCAACTCCGAAGGAAGTGACAACCGGACGTTCTCCATGGATATTCTGTGTACGTGTCAATGTTTGCTGACCTAGATACTGTCCAAATGTCTCTCTGTTGACCTGTCTGCCCCCCCCCTTCCTGAATATAACTTCCTGCCTACCCGTGCTGCTGTTGTAGGTAAGCAAACAAATGGGAATCCTAGGCCAGTGATCTCCTGGTCCTACGCACACAAACTCACGCTGTCTCCAACTCTCCTTTCCTCCCTGTCTCTATTTTTCTGTCCCTCTGTGTCTATCTGTCTGTCTGTTTGTCTGTCTGTCTCCGTCTCTCTCTGTCTCCCTATGTGTCTTTTTCTTACTCTCTCTCTCTCTCCCTGTGTCTCTCTTTCTCTCTGTCCGCATATGTGTGTGTGTGTTTGTGTGTGTATGTGTGTCTCTCTCTCTATCTTTCTTTCTTTCTCTCTTTCTCTCTGTGTGTGTCCCTGTCTCTGTCTCTGTCTGTCTCTGTCTCTCTCTCTCTCTCTCTCTTTCTCTCTGCGTGTCTCTCTCTCTCTGTCTCGTCAATGTTCTCTTTCCCCCCTTTGCAGTTCCTCCAGTCGTCCTACATAACTCTGTGTTGAACAACACCAGACAACTTGGAGATAATATCACCTTCATGATATCCCTGACCCAATCGTCGAATCCATCCCCAAACTGGTTTGTCTTCCACAATCACATCCCTCTCAGCGAAACATTATACAGGAGTAATATTTCCAGAACCAAAGATATTTTTATGGTAACAAGAAATCATTTGAAAGTGTCCGATGGTGGCTTGTATACATGTGTCGTGAATAACACCCAAGGTTCAGACAGGGTCACGTTTCGTCTAGATGTTCAGGGTAAGTTCCGAGATTGGTATGTCTGGATTCTCCTGTCTACTGCTGAGTATGGTGATGCATTTGGCGCCGTGTGTGTGTGTGTATGTGTATGTGGTTGTGTGTGTGTGTGTGTGTGTGTGTGTGTGTGTGTGTGTGTGTGTGTGTGAGGGTGTGTGTATGTCTGTATGTGTGTGAGGGTGTGTGTGTGTGTGTGTGTGTGTGTGTGTGTGTGTGTGTGTGTGTGTGTGTGTGTGTGTGTGTGTGTGTGTGTGTGTGTGTGTGTGTGTGTGTGTGTGTGTGTGTGTGCGCCAGCTACAGTCCATTCAGAAAAAGATGGGCTCTGGCTCTGGCGAGCTCCCGTATTTGGCGATTTTTCGTGATTTCATTGTACACAGTGCAGTGCTGCGAAATTTGAACTTTGAAAAAGAGTCCAAAAAGGGTACCTGAACTGGGGTTCGAACCCCACAATGCACTGTTGCAGGCAGGGTCAAACGGCCTGGATTTTGATGGTTTTTTCCAATTCAATGCTTCTGGGGCAAAACCTGGCCGATATCCTATTCTTGTTATGGCTTGCTTTTTGGACAAATAGACTTCAGAAACTTAATTGGAAGAGGATTCCATAGGGGATTGCAGAAAGAAATTCTAAAAAAACTCAAAGTTTGACCCATTTATGGCCAAAAGCTAGAAGTCCATCTTTTTCTGAATGGACTGTAGTTCGGTTGGTAGGTACACTTATGCCGGATAGTGTTGTGTCTGTTGCCAACGGGGTCGGCTGCTTGAAGGTGTAATGTTGTACCTACCACCTTTGTTGGTTTCAGGGTTCATATACTTTTTATTTGAAGTATACATACCTTATACATACCTGTTAACCATGGACTACTTCTGGCTAGATCAACTCTTGTGTAATCATGGTGCTAGTGAAGCTTGTATGAGATCCACTCTAATTTAGCCACCCACACTAGTAGCAAGTATTACCTTCACTGGGGGCAGGGGTAATTGCAGTTGGATCCCGGGACGGATATCCTGATGCCGTCAATCCTTTTTCTGCACCTTGTCCTCACCCACTTACTGAGGTGTGGTGAGCCCATAAGTGAGATCATTTTCAAGTCCACCCAGAGTTTTGGGGATTTCAGGGGTGTCAGCCGTTGGGGGCTTCAATAGCCAATTGAGTCATCTTTCCAAGATTCCTTTTGAGTCTCTCCCCCTCTCCCGGGGAGACCCACGTGACCAGTTTCGGCAGTGAGCAACAAGTACAAGTAAGTGTGTGTGTGTGTGTGTGTGTGTGTGTGTGTGTGTGTGTGTGTGTGTGTGTGTGTGTGTGTGTGTGTGTGTGTGTGTGTGTGTGTGTGTGTGTGTGTGCTGTGCGTGTTGTGCGTGTTGTGCGTGTTGTGCGTGTGTGTGTGAGGGGGGGGGGGTGAAGCCCAAGTGACACTTTGTTATTATCATTCTATTTCCACTTTGTTTTATTCCTCCCCAGCACCACCCATTGTGGACACATTCTCAGCCTTAAACACCACCAGAATGCTCGGTGAAAATGCCACCTTCTACGTCACCCTGAAATACACACCCAATCCAATGCCAGCTATAGCATGGATGCACAATGGATCCCTAATCAACACACGCTCAGACAGAATGCAATTGTCGAGCAATGGCTTGTCGTTGACACTGAAAAATCTGTTACCCGCGGACGGGGGAGTTTACACCATCTTTGTGAATAACTCTCTGGGAACTGCAAATGCAACATTCTCCATGGATATTCAGGGTGGGTGTGTGCTGGTGGTTGTGTCAATTTCTGTCCATCTGTCTCTATCTCAGCTCATCTGTCTCTATCTCAGCCCATCTGTTTCTCTTTCAGCCCAACTGTCCGCCTGCCAGTATGAACCTTCCTGTACGATCCGTCCATCCCTCTATCTGTCCATCTGTCCATCCGTCCATCCATCCATCCGTCCATCCGTCCATCTCTCTATCTGTCCATCCGTCCGTCCGTCCTTCTCTCTAACTGATCGTCTGTCTGTACGTTCATTTCTCTATCTGTCTGTTTGTCCATATCTCTATCTTTCCGTCCGTCCGTCCGTCCATCTCTCTATGCATCCATCCATTAATCCCTTGGCTCTGCCCATCCAATTCTTCATCACTCTTTCTCCTTTCTTACACTATTATCTCTTATTGGCCACTGGCTATCGTGAGAATAAAGATTTGAAACAACGCCCTCCCCTTTTTCTGAAACGAACACAGCCTGCTATGCTGGACGACGAAAATCGCATGCATGTACATGTCATATGTACAGTGTCGGTGGATTTGCGATTTTGGCTCACATCCCTCCCCCCCCCCCCCTCCAACGAATCATGGTCGTTTCAGGGACAACAAAAAACTTTTGCGACGACCCCTAAGGTTTAAGGGTTGCACTGGGATCATTCTGTTTCCGGCGTATTGTCATTCCTCCCCAGCACCACCCGTTGTGGATACTTTCTTATTCTTATTCTTTTTCCACTTTGTTTTTCATCCTTCCCCAGTGCCACCAATCGTGGACACGTTCTCAGCCGTAAACACCACCAGACTGCTAGGAGAAAATGCCACCTTCTACGTCACCCTGAAACATACACCAAATCCAATGCCAGACATCACATGGACTCACAACGGATCTCGGATCAACACAAGCTCCCACAGGATGCAATTATCTAGTAGTGGCTTGTCGTTGACACTGACGAATTTGCTGCCCCGGGACAGGGGAGTCTACAAAATCTTGATGAGCAACTCCCAAGGAAATGACAACCGGACGTTCTCCATGGATATTCTGTGTACGTGTCAATGTTTGCTGACCTAGATACTGTCCAGATGTCTCTCTGTTAACCTGTCTGCCCCCCCCCCCCTTCCTGAATATAACTACCTGCCTGCCTGTGCTGCTGTTGTTGTAGCTAGGCAAACAAACGGGAATCCTTGGCCAGTGATCTCCTGGTCCTACGCACACAAACTCACGCACTCTCTCACTCTCCTTTCCTCCCTATCTCTCTTTTTCTGTCCCTCTATGTCTATCTGTCTGTCTGTCTCCCTCTCTCTCTCTGTCTCTCTATGTGTCTTTTTCTTACTCTCTCTCTCTCTCTCTCTCTCCCTGTGTTTCTCTAATTGAGCCAGGGACTATGGATACCGCCCTACGACGTTTGATATCAAAATCAAGTTATGACGTTTCAAAGTCACGCGACTCAAAGTTACGCGAAGCGCAAAACTCGTCACTTTTGTTTTGACAAGACTCCAGAGCTGTCCTCTTGTTCGGTGTTCGGGGAAGGATTCCGAGCTCGAGCGATTGTCGCATAACTCATGAGGCTCCACTTACTGTGATTGATTATGGCTACAACATCTAGTAGACGACGCAGCTCGATTCTGTGTGGAGTCGACTAGTCCCTGATGCGAAGGCGCTTCAATCGGACGACGAGAATTTTTACGGATTCAGCGCTGGCACCCGCAAGTCGTCCGCTAACGATTCCGACACCGATGCTGACAGCGACGACGATGATATGCCACCTAAGAAGAAGAAGTATGGAGTCACAGCAAGCTCGAGACGAGTGCTGCTAGTGTTGTGTCGAAAACGCCAAGCCCCGACAGCGCGGAAATTTCAAACGCGGAGAGTGACACCGACTACTCGGAATTGGATGACGAACCAGATGCCCCCGCACCTGAGCCACCGACGACGGAGCAGGTGAAGCGTGGTCTCCTGTCTTCAGACATACGCGAAGAGAGGCTGTGGATGCAAGTCGAAGAATCATTGGAAAGTCATCCCAGAGCAGTAGCTCGAGGACTACATATTTGAAGTCTCTAAACTGCGAGAATCGAAAAAGCCCTTCAAGTAGTTTGTTCTGGGCGCACTGACTAGAAGCATGCGAAAGTCGATGACTGGTGTTGGTGATCGACCTTTCTATTTCCGCTATCATGTACGTGGCTACGAGCTGTGCAAAGACGTGTTCATGGCAGTTCATGCTGTTGGAAGTCATGTAATGAAGCGCCTTCAAAAAAGGCAAACAAAGGAGTCGTTCAACTGGCACACCATGGCTTGACTGGGAGAACACCAGAGCACTTGGCCATTTCAGCAGACATAGAGCAGGATATAGTGCAGTTTATATAGTCATATGCTAACATGTACGGTCTACCTCAACCCGGGGCGAGGTCGTGATGAGGACCCTCCAGTATACTTACCAGCATCCAAGAACAAGAAGTCTGTACACAACATCTATACCAAGACCGTCACACAGTATTCACCTGTTCATTACAGGTCATTTTGCCACATTTGGAGGAGACAGGCAGCACACATCAAAGTGATGAAGCCAAAGACAGACGTATGCGCACTGTGTGACAATCTGCGGGACAAAATTTGTGTCGCCCGTACAGAGGAAGAGACGGAATGTAGTGTCCAGGCCCTGCGTTCGCACATATCACTAGCACAAGAGGAGCGGCAGTACTACCGGGATTTAGTGGACGGCGCGCAGGCGTCCCTGGATGACGCTGAGGGCATAGTTCACTATACATTTCAACTGCCTAACTAGCAAGAATGAAGATATACAAAGAACATTACAAAACTGTGCGCATAAATTTGCTCTATATCGCTTAATTTATATGCCATTATTAACCCTTTGTGTACGGACTGTACAACTTTCGATCCCCTGATTAGGCACTTTTTACCACCGCAGATCAACTCGAAATTTTGTTTGAGCACATTACCATGCCATACCAACATTTTGAGAGAAAAAAAATTTCGCCAAAAAGTGCCATAGGGTGGTTTCTGTAGTCCCTGGCTCATCTATCTGTCTGCATATGTGTGTGTGTGTGTCTCTCGCTCTCGCTCTCTATCTATCTATCTATCTTTCTTTCTCTCTCTTTCTCTGTCTCTGTCTCTGTCTCTCTCTCTCTCTCTCTCTCTCTCTCTCTCTCTCTCTCTCTCTCTCTCTCTCTCTCTCTCTCTCTCTCTCTGCATGTCTCTCTCCCTCTCTCTCTCTCTCTTTCTCTCTCTCTCTCTCTCTCTCTCTCTCTCTCTCTCTCTCTCTCTCTCTCTCTCTCTCTCTCTCTCTCTCTCGTCAATGTTCTCTTTCCCGCCTTTGCAGTTCCTCCAGTCGTCTTACATAACTCTGTGCTGAACAACACCAGACAACTTGGAGATAATATCACCTTCATGATCTACCTGACCCAATCCTCAAATCCATCCCCAAACTGGTTTGTCTTCCACAATCACATCCCTCTCAGCGAAACATTATACAGGAGTAATTTTTCCAGAACCAAAGATCTTTTTATGGTAACAAGAATTCATTTGAAAGTGTCCGATGGTGGCTTGTATACATGTGTCGTGAATAACACCCAAGGTTCAGACAGGGTCACGTTTCGTCTAGATGTTCAGGGTAAGTTCCGAGATTGGTATGTCTGCATTCTCCAGTCTACTGCTGAGTATGGTGATGCATTTATTTTTATTTTTACAAAGACCACTTAATGCCAAACATGAGATGCAGCTAGGGGAAGCACGCACAACCTGAATTGTGGCAGTGGTGGTGAGGTTTTTGGCGCCGTGTGTGTGTGTGTATGTGTGTGTGTGTGTGTGTGTGTGTGTGTGTGTGTGTGTGTGAGGGTGTGTGTATGTCTGTATGTGTGTGAGGGTGTGTGTGTGTGTGTGTGTGTGTATGTGTGTGTGTGTGTGTGTGTGTGTGTGTGTGTGTGTGTGTGTGTGTGTGTGTGTGTAACTGTGTGTGTGTGTGTGTGTGTGTGTGTGTGTGTGTGTGTGTGTGTGTGTGTGTGTGTGAGGGTGTGTGTATGTCTGTATGTGTGTGAGGGTGTGTGTGTGTGTGTGTATGTGTGTGTGTGTGTGTGTGTGTGTGTGTGTATGTGTGTGTGTGTGTGTGTGTGTGTGTGTGTGTGTGCCAGCTAGTTCGGTTGGTAGGTACACTTATGCCGGATAGTGTTTGGTCTGTTGCCAACGGGCTCGGCTGCTTGAAGGTGTAATGTTGTACCTACCACCTTTGTTGGTTTCAGGGTTCATATACTTTTTATTTGAAGTATACATACCTGTTAACCATGGACTTCTTCTGGCTAGATCAACTCTTGTGTAATCATGGTGCTAGTGAAGCTTGTATGAGATCCACTCTAATTTAGCCACTAGTAGCAAGTATTATCTTCACTGGGGGCAAGGGTAACTGCAGTTGGATCCCGGGACGGATATACTGATGCCGTCAATCCTTTTTCTGCACCTTGTCCTCACCCACTTACTGAGGTGTGGTGAGCCCATAAGTGAGATCATTTTCAAGTCCACCCAGAGTTCTGGGGATTTCAGGGGTGTCGGCCGTTGGGCGCTTCAATAGCCAATTGAGTCATTTTTCCAAGATTCCTTTCGAGTCTCTCTCCCCTCTCCCGGGAAGACCCACGTGACCAGTTTTGGCAGTGAGCAACAAGTACCAGTACAAGTAATTCTGTGTGTGTTGTGCGTGTTGTGCGTGTGTGTGTGTGGGGGGGGGGGGTGAAGCCCAAGTGACACTTTGCTATTATCATTTTATTTCCACTTTGTTTTATTCTTCCCCAGCACCACCCATTGTGGACACATTCTCAGCCTTAAACACCACCAGACTGCTCGGTGAAAATGCCACCTTCTCCGTCACCCTGAAATACACACCCAATCCAATGCCAGCTATAGTATGGATGCACAATGGATCCCTAATCAACACACGCTCAGACAGAACGCAATTGTCGAGCAATGGCTTGTCGTTGACACTGAAAAATCTGTTACCCGCGGACGGGGGAGTTTACACCATCTTTGTGAACAACTCTCTGGGAACTACAAATGCAACATTCTCCATGGATATTCGGGGTGGGTGTGTGCTGGTGGTTGCGTCAATTTCTGTCCATCTGTCTCTATCTCAGCTCATCTGTCTCTATCTCAGCCCATCTGTTTCTCTTTCAGCCCAACTGTCCGCCTGCCAGTATGAACCTTCCTGTACGATCCGTCCATCCCTCTATCTGTCCATCTGTGCATCCGTCCATCCATCCATCCGTCCATCCATCCATCTCTCTATCTGTCCATCCGTCCGTCCGTCCCTCTCTCTAACTGTTCGTCCGTCTGTACGTTCATTTCTCTATCTGTCTGTTTGTCCATATCTCTATCTTTCCGTCCGTCCGTCCGTCCATCTCTCTATACATCCATCCATTAACCCCTAGGCCCTGGCCACCCAATTCTACCTCACTCTTTCTCCTTTCTTACACTATTGTCTCTTATTGCCCACTGGCTATCGTGAGAATAAAGATTTGAAACAAACCCCTCCCCTCCCTCTGAAACGAACACAGCCTGCTATGCTGGGCGACGAAAATCGCATGCATGTACATGTCATATGTACAGTGTCGGTGGATTTGCGATTTTGGCTCACACCCCCTCCCCCCCCCCCCCACGAATCATGGTCATTTCAGGGACAACAAAAAAACTTTTGCGATGCCCCCTAAGGTTTGAGGGTCGCACTGAGATTATTCTGTTTCCGGCTTATTGTCATTCCTCCCCAGCACCACCCGTTGTGGAAATGTTCTTATTCCTAATCTATTTCCACTTTGTTTTCATCCTTCCCCAGTGCCACCAATCGTGGACACGTTCTCAGCCGTAAACACCACCAGACTGCTAGGTGAAAATGCCACCTTCTACGTCACCCTGAAACATACACCAAATCCAATGCCAGACATCACATGGACTCACAAAGGATCTCCGATCAACACAAGCTCCCACAGGATGCGATTGTCCAGTAGTGGCTTGTCGTTGACACTGACGAATTTGCTGCCTCTGGACAGGGGAGTCTACAAAATCCTGATGAGCAACTCCGAAGGAAGTGACAACCTGACGTTCTCCATGGATATTCTGTGTACGTGTCAATGTTTCCTGACCTAGATACTGTCCAGATGTCTCTCAGTTAACCTGTCTGCCCCCCCCCTTCCTGAACATAACTACCTGCCTGCCTGTGCCTGTTGTAGCTAGGCAAACAAAGGGGAATCCTTGGCAAGCGGTCTTCCGGTCCTACACACAAACTCACGCACTCTCTCACTCTCCTTTCCTCCCTATCTCTCTTTTTCTGTCCCTCTCTGTCTATCTGTCTGCCTCCCTCTCTCTCTCTGTCTTTTTCTTACTCTCTCTCTCCTTCTCTTCCTGTGTTTCTCTATCCCTCTATCCGCATATGTGTGTGTATGTCTCTGTCTCTGTCTCTCTGTCTCTCTCTCTCTCTCTCTCTCTCTCTCTCTCTCTCTCTCTCTCTCTCTGTCTCTCTCTGTCTCTATGTCTCTGTCTCTCTCTCTCTCTCTCTCTCTCTCTCTCTCTCTCTCTATCTATCTCTCTCTTTCTCTCTCTCTCTCTCTCTCTGTCTCTCTCTGTCTCTCTCTCTCTCACTCTCTCCCTCTCTCTGTCTCTCTGTCTCTCTCTCTGTCTCTCTGTCTGTCTCTCTCTCTTTTGTCAATGTTGTCTTTCTCCCCTTTGCAGTTCCTCCAGTCGTCTTACATAACTCTGTGCTGAACAACACCAGACAACTTGGAGATAATATCACCTTCATGATCTACCTGACCCAATTATCGAATCCATCCCCAAACTGGTTTATCTTCCACAATTACATCCCTCTCAGCGAAACATTATACAGGAGAGATTTTTCCAGAACCAAAGATATTTTTATGGTAACAAGAAATCATTTGAAAGTGTCCGATGGTGGCTTGTATACATGTGTGGTGAATAACACCCAAGGTTCAGACAGGGTCACGTTTCGTCTAGATGTTCAGGGTAAGTTCCGAGATTGGTTTAACTGCATTCTCCAGTCTACTGCAGAGTATGGTGATGCATTTGGCGCCGTGTGTGTGTGTGTGTGTGTGTGTGTCTGTGTGTCTGTGTGTGTGTCTGTGTGTCTGTGTGTGTGTCTGTGTTTGTGTGTGTACATGTATGTGTGTGTGTGTGTGTGTGTGTGTGTGTGTGTGTGTGTGTGTGTGTGTGTGTGTGTGTGTGTGTGTGTGTGTGTGTGTGTGTGTGTGTGTGTGTGTGTGTGTGTGTGTGTGTGTGTGTGTGTGTGTGTGTGTGTGTGTGTGTGTGTGTGTGTGTGTGTGTGTGCAGTAGTATGTGCAGTCGATTTCCAATCGAGAGGTTGCGGGTTCAATTCCCGACAATTATGGTCGCACACGTCTTTCTTCTCTTTCTCGGACTCTCCCTGACTTTTCTTTCATTCTCTTGGGTGGTTACCAACAGCCAGTGTATGCCGGAGTATGTGGTGTGGTTTGTGTGAAGAAAAAAAATGGAAAAATGAAAGAATGGGGATTCACTGGCCAGAAAAGTCACTTCAAACAGCTGTGGTGTGAATACCAGGCTAAAAATAGCGGCGGTTAATTCATCAGCCTTGCAAGCTGTTGAATGGTGTAATCCCAGCACAAGTTGCTATGTCTAACATAGCTGTTCGCTATCATCGCTTCCGCGATGGGCATGTCTGAGGTGAGGTCTGACCTGTGTGTGTGTGTGTGTGTTTGTGAAAAAAAATAGGGATTCACTGGCCAGAAAAAGTCACTTCAAACAGCTGTGTGGTGGATACCAGGCTACAAATAGTGGCGGTCAAGTCATCAGCCTTGCAAGCTGTTGAATGGTGTAATCCCAGCACAAGTTGCTATGTCTAACATAGCTGTTCGCTATCATCGCTCCCGCGATGGGCATGTCTGAGGTTGTGTGTGTATGTGTGTGTGTTGTGCGTGTTGTGCGTGTGTGGGGGGGGGGGGGGGGAGGGAGGTGAAGCCCAAGTGACTCTGTGTAATTATCATTCTATTTCCACTTTGTTTTTCATTCCTCCCAGCACCACCCGTTGTGGACACATTCTCAGCTTTAAACACCACCAGACTGCTCGGTGAAAATGCCACCTTCTCCGTCACCCTGAAATACACACCCAATCCAATGCCAGCTATAGTATGGATGCACAATGGATCCCTAATCAACACACGCTCAGACAGAACGCAATTGTCGAGCAATGGCTTGTCGTTGACACTGAAAAATCTGTTACCCGCGGACCGGGGAGTTTACACCATCTTTGTGAATAGTTCTCTGGGAACTGCAAATGCAACATTCTCCATGGATATTCAGGGTGGGTGTGTACTGGTGGTTGCATCAATTTCTGTCCATCTGTCTCTATATCAGCTCACCTGTCTCTATCTCAGCCCATTTGTTTCTCTTTCAGCCCATCTGTCCGCCTGCCAGTATGAACCTTCCTGTACGATCCGCCCATCTCTCTATCTGTCCATCCGTCCATCCATCCATCCGTCCATCCGTCCATCCATCCATCCGTCCATCCGTCCATCTCTCTATCTGTCCATCCGTCCGTCCGTCAATCTCTCTATTTGTTCGTCCGTCCGTCTGTCCATCCATCTCTTGATCTGTCTGTCAGTCCATCTTTCTATCTTTCTTTCTTTCCATCCGTCCGTCCGTCCGTCCATCTCTCTGTACATCTGTCTGTCCGTCCATCTCTTTATATTATGTCCGTCCGTCTGTCATCCATCTACCTATCTGTCCATCAATCCGTCCGTCCATCTCTCTATCTGTTCATGTGTCTGTCTGTCCGTCTCTCTATCTGTCCATCCATCTGTCCATCTGTCTGTCTTCCCGTCCGTCTGTTCGTCCATCTCTCTATCTGTCCGTCAGTCTGTCCGTCCATCTCTCTATATTTCCGTCCATCAGTCCGTTCTTTATCTGCCTGTCCGTTTGTCCATCCATATCTGTATCTGTCCGTCCGTCCGTCCATCCGACCATCTCTCTGTCTGTCTGTCTGTCTGTCTGTCTGTATGTCTGCCTGCCGACCTGTCTGAATTCAGACTGGAGAACAGAACTGAGCTCAGGCTCTTCGCAAGCTACATTTCTTTTTTTTCTTTTTATAGGTTCCACGTGTGCTTTCATTGCCTTCGTTTCAGGTGGTTGCAGCGAAGCAACTATCCAGCTGTGTGTACATGAAGATGATGCGAACCCGTGCAAAACTCCGGAAATGTTGCTTGTACGGAGACTAACATTAGGCCTGCTTGTCACATGGATGGCATTTTTGTCTCCAGGAACTTTTTCCATGAGTATGAAATGAACATTCAATGTATACATGTAATCCCCTGGAGCATTTCTGCACTGGCGGGAACCGTTTTTCATTGGTCCGGCCACATCATGACCTTGGGTATTTTATTTGTATGAAATGGCTGGTACACATGACCACCTCCGCAGTAAACACGTGCTGGAGGCCAAGAAGTTGGTTCGGCAATGACCGGACCAACTGGACCGATTCCGACACGTCTGTAGTTTTGGCCCAGTTATCGTCGATTGTTTGAGGGAAAGCTGTGTGACACTAAAGGGCCATCCAAGGTTACCAATACTAGTTTCAAAACAAGTGTCTTCGTTTGGGGATGGGGAGGGCTTTAAGGAGTTTTGAAATCAATTATTAAATGTACACGGAAAATGCCCAGTTACATATGGGTGCCGAAGATTGAAATCAACATTTTGTTGGACTGCGTTTTGCCTACAGAAAGGGTGGGTGGGTGGGTGGGGGTTTCATAATACTTCAACAAGTTGTTTCGCAAAACAATCGGTAACCCAGGACGGCCACTAACTTTGTTTCCTTGGTGTATTCCTTTCTCTCCAGTTCCTCCAGTTGTGTACATGACCTCAACCCTGAACAGCACGAAACAAATGAATGAAAACATCTCGTTCTCCGTCACCCTGCGGCACACACCCAATCCACTGCCGACCATCACATGGCTGCACAATGGATCACCAATCAACCTCAGTGCGAGCAGAATGCAATTGTCTAGTGATAGTTTGTCGTTGAACTTGACACATCTAGGGATCTCCGACGCTGGATGGTATATTTTCTCGATAAGAAACACCATAGGAACAGAAGTAGTGAAGTTCTTCCTGGATGTTCAAGGTATGTTCTGAGATAGCTACGTTTCCCACGCCCTCGGTCTGGTTATGATATCTGTTGATCTGTTCTTTTTTATTTGTCTGTCTCTCCGTCTGTCTCTGTGTCTCTCTGTCTCTCTGTCTTTCTGTTAGTCTATCTTTCTGTCTGTCTGTCTGTCTGTCTGTCTGTCTGTCTGTCTGTCTGTCTGTCTGTCTGTCTGTCTGTCTGTCTGTCTGTCTGTCTGTCTGTCTGTCTGTCTGTTGATCTGTCTGTCTGTCTGTCTTTCTGTAGTAGTCTATCTATCTGTCTGTCTGTCTTTTTGTCAGTCTGCCGGCCTTTTTGTCCGTGTCTATGTGTGTGTCTGTATGTTGTCGGATTGGCATACCGTATTTTCCGGAGTATAGTGCGCACTTTAGATGTGCTATTTTAGGCCCTAAATCGCAGGTGCGCACTGTGTTCCGAATATGAAATGCATGTGCTTCAATGAAGATTGAAGTTTGTGCGTATTTTTGCTGGCTTTTGGGGCGCCATGCGTACGGAAACGTGCCGAAATGCAAATACCAACATGTTGGGAATTTCAGCGGGTTTTAGGCACGTACCAGCCTACATACCGGTCACTTTGACTGGCGGGGTCAAAACATTACTACTCGAAGGTGTCGCATGTGCTAAATACGACTTGGATTGCTGTTTTTTGTGATCAGATCAGTGCTCCCAAAGCTTCAACGGGCGATTCACAATACAACTTTCTGCGACGCGACACACGATTTGCGACAGTTGCGACAAGAAACTGTTTGTCGCGAGCTGTCGCAAGCAATCGCAAGGCACCTGTCGCAGAAGCTGAAGAAAATTCAACTTTTGCGAGATGCTACACGCGACATACACAAATGGAGTACAGTTTTGACCCTGGGTGCACGTGCAGTGCACGTGCATAGTACTACTTGTGCATGAGGATGTCACAAACATGAAGAATATTGTGAACCGTGTGTCGCTATCGCAGCTCATCGCATGTGTCGCAAGTCGCATGTGGCGTCGCAATAAGTTGTATTGTGAATCGGCCTTTAGGCTACATCACGATTCAGGTTGTGCGTGCTTCCCCTAGCTGCATCTCATGTTTGGCATTTAAGTGGTCTTTGTACAAAAGAAAGAAAAAAGATTAGTGTTCCCAGAGCTTGAAAGCTACATGAGATTAGTGTTCTGTGGGTTGTAAGCCGAACTTACCTGATCTCCTATGCCTTCTCTTCTTCCTCCAGTTCCTCCAGTTGTGGACACGTTCGCAACCCTGAACAGTACGAAAGAGTTCAGCGAAAACATCTCGTTTTACGTTACCCTGACACGTGCACCGAATCCACTGCCGACCATCACATGGCTGCACAATGGATTGCCAATCAACAAAAGTGGGAGCAAAATGCAATTGTCCAGCAATATTTTGTCATTGAACTTGACAGATCTAGCGGTGTCCGACACTGGATTTTATACAGTCTTGATCAACAACACCTTAGGATCAGAGAAAGTGATGTTCTTCCTGGAAGTTCAAGGTATGTTCTGAAATTGCTTTGCTTCTTGTGTGTGCCAGTCTGTGTGTCTGCACATGTGTATGACTGTCGGTATGTCTGTCTGTCTATTGGACTGTCTGTGTGTCTGCATATCTGTATGAACATCGGTGTGTCTGCCCGCCTGTTGGACTATCTGTGTGTCTGCCTGTCGGTGTGTCTGTCTGTCTGTGTTTCTGTTGGTCTGTGTGTCTGTTGATCTGTCTGTGTATCTGTGTGTATCTGTGTGTGTGTGTGTGTGTGAGTGTGTGTGTATGTGTGTCTGTGTGTGTATGTGTGTCTGTCTGTTGGTCTGTACATCCTCCGCTTTGTCTGTAGTTTTGATTACACTTGTCCGTCTGTTTTCCACTTGTCTGTCACCTTCTTTGCATATGATTCCATCCTTTCTCCCGTCGGCCAGTCTTTGTACCAGGTACTGTAAAAGCCAAACCTCAAATAGGAGCAACATGTTGTCAGCTCTTCCCTGTCGATGAAAGAAAACGGTAGTCCAAATGAAGTTAGCACTACTGAAGTAGTACATTACTGAGGTGTGTACTGCCAAAGCAGTTTTCGGTATCAGTGACTTGTGTTCTGTTACATTGCGCTTGTAAATTCGGTGTGCTTTCTCTCTCTCTCTCTCACTCTCTCTCTCTCTTTCTCTCTCTCTCACTCTTTCTCTCTCTCTCTATCTCTTTCTCTCGCTCTCTCTCCCTCGCTCTTTATCTCTCTCTCTCTCTCTCTCTCTCTCTCTCTCTCTCTCTCTCTCGTATGTGGGCTCCGTTTATTGAGGTGCGTTGAAATATATTCTCTTTATCTTATTATTTCTTGTCTATATTTCCTCATATGATTTCCTATCAGTTGCTGTGAACACATTGAGTGGAGAGCGCTTGCTCGAGCGTTGAACCGGGTTCTTAATCCACCATACCCAGTTCGCAAGGCTGGGCGGGGTTGTGAGCAGGCTTTCATTTAATCTTTTCTTATTATTTCTTATCATTTCTGCTTTTCATCGAATTACCAAAATTCTGCGCATTTTTTCTCCACCTGCGCATAAAATCTAGACTGACAACCGGCTTGTTAAATCATGCACCTGCTTTCAGGCGTAAAAACCCTGTTGTAGAGGTCTCAGTCCTCATTTGTTAGACTTACCTGTCTATATAAATGTAACTTACTCTCTCTCTCTCTCTCTCTCTCTCCCTCTCTCTCTCTCTCTCTCTCTCTCTCTCTCTCTCCCTAGCTCCTCGGATTGTGGACACATTCTCAACCCTGAACAGTACCAAGCTAGCGGGCGAAAACGTCACGTTTTACGTCACTCTGAGGATTGCCACCAACCCATGGCCGTCCGTCACGTGGACACACAACGGATCACCTGTCAATAGATCAACTGTTGGTTTACAACAGGACAAGAATAATTTCTCATTCACTATCACTGACTTGAGGATACAAGATGGTGGAGTGTACATGATCTCTCTGAAAAATACTCCAGGATCAGTGAATGTCACATTTTCCCTGGAGGTTCATGGTAGGCTTCATGATTTGTACATATCTGTGGCGGAGTTGTGTGTGTGTGTATGTGTGTGTGTGTGTGCACATGCGTGCGAGTGTGTGTGTGTGTGTGTGTGTGTGTGTGTGTGTGTATGTGTGTGTGTACTGGTTGAGTACTGGTGGTGGCAGTCAATTTTTTTCTTCAGACTTTTCCCGTTTGTCTCCCTCAAACCAGTTAATATAGTATGTGTATATGCGTCTGTGTTTCCGTGTCTGTGTTTATGCCATGTGGTGTGGTGTTGCGAGTCCAGAATTGGATAATTAAATTTAAAATCCACCCGAGTCTGGGGATTTCAGGGGGTGTTGGTCATTGGGCAGTTCAATAACCGATTACATCTTCTCTTCAAGACCCTGCCTCTCTCTTTGTCTCCCTCTCTCTCTCTCTCTCTCTCTCTCTCTCTCTCTCTCTCTCTCTCTCTCTCTCTCTTTCTTTCTCTCCCTCTCTGTCTCTCATTCTCCCTCTCTGTCTCTCATTCTCCCTCTCTCTGTCTCTTATTCTCCCTCTCTGTCTCTCACTCTCTCTTTCTTTTTTCTCTCTCTCTGTCTCTCTCTCTCTCTGTCTCCCTCTCTCTCTCTCTCTCTCTCTCTCTCTCTCTCTCTCTCTCTCTCTCTCTCCCTCTGTCTCTCTCTCTCTCTCTCTCTCTCTCTCTCTCTCTCTCTCTCTTCTCTCTCTCTCTTCCCACCACAGCTCTACCAGTATTTGAGACACCAGTCAGTTATGTGGATGAAGGTAAAGATGTCACCATGCACTGCAGTGTTAGTAGTATTCCAGCTGTTGAGGATCTCTACTGGATTGAACGGGATACTGGACGGCGACTAGACTCCACAAACTCTGCTGATGTACGCAGCCAGATACCAGCAGTAACCGCTCCCGTCGTCGTCTCTACAGCTGGGCAGATGACGCAGCGATCAGCATCACTGACATTGCGCAATGTGACCACCAGTGAACGTGACAGATATATCTGCATGGTTAGCTATCGTACACCAGCACGGCAGCTGAGTGCTCCACTCTTGTTCAACACAACCCAGCCAATTGTAGTCAATGGTAAGTCAAGCAGGTTGATAGGGGGCGATGGTCGTAGGTTATGATTTCGAGACCTCCGGTCGGATGAGCCTCGCCAACCACATCGGCACATCACTCCTACTCCCCTTTGTTTCGTTGTCCAGTGTCACTTCAGTTGTCCTCTTCCCCTGATTATTATTAGGGCTGTGTTTGCTTGTAAAAAAATCCCACGAAACCTATTCACAATGTACACTTCTCAGAAACTTCTGCACATTGTTGTGATACCTTGGACAATTCACAGGCCAAGGCAAGAAGGCAGTAATGCCTGTTCATTCTGGAGAAGCAAAATATATAATTACCAACCAACCAACCACAACGAACATATACCTTGATTCTCTACTTTCTTCTTGGACCTGTGGAATGTGTTTTCACGTGTGTGTGTGTGTGTGTGTGTGTGTGTGTGTGTGTGTGTGTGTGTGTGTGTGTGTGCGTGCGTGTGCGTGTGTGTGTGTGTGTATTCAATTTTTGTCCCTTCCCAGTACCTCCAGTATTTCACCTCTCGCCGGCCAAGTCAACAGTCACGTACGGTTCAAACCTCACCCTTGCTTGCTCTGTGAAGAGCTTTCCAGCTCTCATCTCCCTCACTTGGAGCCACCGGCACGACGACCGACATCAAGGTCACGGCACCATACCAACATCGACAATGCAAACACCGCCCACGGCTGCATCGGTGCTGTACAACTGGACAATCACCCTTGACCTCGAGTGGGTTGCCGAAATCGACGGCGGCGACTACGAGTGCATCGCATTGTACGCCCGTGAACCACACGGGAACACAAGCAGCATAGAGTCGGTCGGCAGTGTGTCGGTGGACGTTGGCAGTAGCGCGGACGAAGAGGCAGTCCCCACCCCCTCCGCCATGGCCAAGAACAGCCTTGTGTGGATCGCCAGCACAGTGGTTGCCGGTAGCGTCGTGATCGCTATGGCAACATACATGCTGGTGGCGTCGTCACACAGAAAGCGGAGCACCTCCCTCTCCTTTGCACTTATGGGTAAGGAAAAACAGTCACCTCTCATTCTCTTCTTCCTCTCCTCTCTTTTTCTTCTCATTTTTATAATGAAGTTTATAGTTACAACCGTGGATGGTTACCACCCTTTGTCTCATTTTCACTATTAATAAAGTTCATTTCAAAAGTCAAGACCTCTGGTTTCAAAAAACCGTTAGGCCAGCATCTATACCACATAAAATCTTTGATCACTTTGTGCATAACATTTCCGAAGGTGTTGGGTTTGTTGCAATGTCGCTGTCCAATTGCCACAAGGAATACTCTACCTTTGGAAGTGTTCCTCTGGTATGTGTACTGGCATCCGCGTGGGCGTTTGTGCTTGCATGTGCACATATGTGCATGTGTGTGTGTGTGTGTGTGTGTGTGTGTGTGTGTGTGTATGTGTGTGTGTATGTGTGTGTGTATGTGTGTGTGTGTATGTGTGTGTGTATACGTGTATGGGAATGCAAAATCGTCTGAACGCATTAGCAGTTTAGCGCAGGCTACGTACTGGTAAATGGCCGTCTCTTGCGCCACAACTGAGATGATGACATCACGATGAAATCAGGACACTATGATGACATCATGATGACATCATGACACTATGATGGCATCATGGTGACACAATGATGACATCATGATGACACACTATGATGACACCATGATGATAACAGTTGTACGTGCTGTTCTTTTCATGCAGATCCTGAGAGTGTACCGAGCAGCACCACGATGCATAACACGAACAGCTGCACGAGCACAACACCGACGATGCGTCAAGCATATTCCCGTTCCGCGGGTCTATTTCAGCGCTTCGGCTTGTCCAGGAAGACGCCTTTGCGGGAAACGCCATCGTGCAGCAGCGGAATGTCCGAGAGTCGCCAGAAGGACGAGGTGAGCTCCAGATTCTCCAGCACTGAGTTGGTCGAGTCGGAGATGCTATGCACGGCATCGTTCCATCAGCAAGCGGTTTGCTGCTCTACAGGAAACACGTCGACTGCGGCGAGACGAAACTCGGCGGATGCAGCACTGAATCCGTACGAGTGTAGCAGCCAACCACGCATCAGCAACGATTATACCCGCTTGCCGCTGCGGTCAAAGTCTCTGCATCTGAACAAAGAACTCGTAGTCGGCTCCTCATCCGCCTATGAAGTGATGCAAAGCGGAATCCAGCACCCGACTGCGTCCGTGGACTCAGACCTGGTCGCTTCTCAGAATGTCGACAATAAGAGCGGTGTGGGATCTGACACTGAGTACTCCTGCTACAATGTTATTAGCAACCGAAAGCGCCTGAGCACACAGATAACTGTGCTGCCACCGTTGGATAAGTGCGATTCACAGGATAGTGAAGGTAGGCCTTCTGCTTGGTTCTTCACAAGACATTTTGGAGTCAGGGAACAATGTTGACGGGTGATTAAGAACTAGTAGGGGGGGGGGGGGGTCAGCCTCGTAGCCTGGATCAATCTTATAAACTAGCAGGATACGCCCAGGTAGAGCCACCTTGCATACCTCGCTTTTTTTTTACAAAGACCACTTAAATGCCAAACATGAGATGCAGCTAGGGGAAGCACGCACAACCTGAATCGTGGCAGTGGTGGTGGTGGGGGGGGGGGGAGCTATGCTGCGCTTGGCGAAATTCTTGCCTGTCCGTTCTTCGGCACTACGTGCTTCGGCGCTCAACCGTACTGTAGTTCAATCTTTGCCACCATGCTCTCTCATTGCTCTGCATGGACATTTTCCGACACGGCCATAAGAACAGACACTGCAATCTGAACCGGTTCCATATACTCAGTAGTGTTTTGTCAAAACGCTTGGCTCACATCCATGGGAGAAACCTATTTGGAAAACACGCCTGATTTTCATAATACACTGTAAGCACATATACGCCTGATTTTTAGTGCTGACATGCTTAGAACTACCCGATTCGAATAGAAGCCTGATGTGAAAACAAGCGCGTAGCAACACCTTTTGGGGTGGTCCGGCCGGAGGTTGGTCCCGGGGGCTGTGACCCGGGAAAAATTGAAATTAGGGTGCAAAATCCTGCATTCTGGGCACCTTTGGCCGTGGTCAGGCAAAAAAGTGGTTCGGCCAGAGGCGGACCGCCCGGACCGGCTGCTATGCCCCTGGAATAGCAGCCTAGCTCCTGGAACAGCAGCCTAGCCCCTGGAATAGCAGCCTAGCCCCTGGAATTGCAGCCTAGCCCCTGGAATAACAGCCTAGCCCTGACATCGGCTTCTACAGGTCTTAGCCCGGCATTAATATGCTACATTATGGTAAATGGTTGAAGTACTCTAATTTCAGAATTTTTCGGTGCTCAATATTCTCGGTATGAGGGCAAAACGCCTGATTAGGTGAACAGAAATTTTCGGTACAGAGAAGCAGTCCCCTATTGGATTATTTGTGTTAGTGTTTGTTCGGTGTATTGAAAATTTAGGGATGAAACAGATGCACCGAAAGTACCGAAAATAAAAGTACACCGATAAATTAGTGAAATAATATCTGTATGTGATCATACAGTAGTGTCTTGTACAAAAGCCTATCTCATATATAGAAGCCTGTTTTTGAATACAAGCCAGATTTTTCGAGATACACTGTCCCCTCGTAAGCCTGGTTTTAATGTTTGCACACACACAGAAATACCTGTCTTGTATAGAAGCCTGTCTTATAATAGAAGACTGCAAAATGTCCCCCAAAGGTCTTGTAAGCCGCGGCTTTTATACATGATTTTACGGTATTCAAAATCGGTAACCCCTGATGCCTCGTTAAAAAAAATAAAAAAATTCACTGTTCGCGATGAAGGGTGGTGGCGTTCCTACGGATACCTCATTAGGGTCCCTTTCATTAATAGGGCAATAGGTGATGCTTACTCCGCATCATTAAAATTGTCGCTTCCCGGAGCGATTTTTCAAATTTATTTTGTCCACTCGAAGGGCAAAGAAATTAGCTAGAAATTGAGGCGGAGCATTGTCGACGGACCAAGCTTTAGTGTGTGGCCTCCCGCTTCGCTGCACTTGCAGCTAAGGTCACCGTCTTCATCAGAGCTTGAGGTAGACCCTTCAGCACTCAACAATACGCTGAACAAAACACGCGTACAAATTCAGATAAAAAACTTCGTTTTCAAGCGATCCATGCCTCCAGGTGGCAGGCAATGAAGTCAAGCTAGCATTTTCAAGTACACTGTAGCGACTTTCCCGCGCGATAGGGTAAGCAGTTCCGCACCTTCTTTCCTTGGCAAGCTCTTCGTTGATTTTGTTGTTGTTTTCAGACCTGCTATCATCACAGTAACATGTAGACAAGCAGCGCAGTTTCGGAATCCGAGAACACTTCCTTCTTGCCATCGTCAACTTCAGCAAGCAAATTCAGGAGAGATACCAGCATTCTTATACCCGAGCTTGCAATCTTGATGAATGCTCACGTGAGCGATGTGGGACGGCACGAACTCCAGAAAAAAACGATCCACGGCCTGGGGCAGAATAGTGCGGAGCGCGATGAATTTATTTGGTGCGGAAGAGAGCTACGACAAAGTCTGAGACCGCTAGGGCTTCAGAAACAAGTAGACATTGCACAGAAAGGGTCGCACCAATGTTCAAACACAGACAACAGTTATTACCGACAGTCTGACTAAGACGAGCCAAGTCACATAAACATTGCAATGTGCGAAGCGACAACTTTAATGGCGCGGAGGAAGCAATAAGTAAAAGTGGGGAGGCTTCCTGCAGTTTCATAAACAGTTTTAAAGAGAAGAGCACACACGCTCTCTTCCATTAACACTGCAATAATTCAACTCATTTCGCAATATTACGACATTTCGGCAAATTGCCTTCATCAGGTAAATAGGTGTTGTTAGTGGATATCAGAGCATAACTTGTAGCTCTTTGGTCCTCTTTTCTTCTTATAAAATTAATAACTATTAATGAATAGGACACGTTGTCATTTTCAATACAATTCTCCACGCTTTTGTGTATGCGTCTGTGTGTTTGGTTGCGTCTGGCAGGCCAAGAATATAACTTGTACAACCACACTAGTTCTAGTAGACCATTGATGTCAATCACCTCACCAACGCACACTCATCTGTCCTGCGCCAGTTTTCAAGACGGGTACCATACCACTTATACGGCGAGGAGAGATGTCGGCAATCAGCATAGTTTTGCTGAGAGGGGGCGTGTGTCTAGTAAGTGTGTGTGTGTGTGTGGGAGGGGTGTAAGTGCGCATGTGTGTGTGTGTGTGTAAGCGTAAGTGCGCGTGTGCATGTGTATGCGTGTTGGGAGGGGGGGGTGTAAGTGTGTGTGCGTGTGTGTGTGTGTGTGTGTGTGTAAGCGTAAGTGCGCGTGTGCATGTGCGTGTGTGTGTGTGTGTGCATGTGCACGTGTGTGCGTGCACACGATTGTTTGCACGTATGTGAGCGTGTGTGCATGCATTCCGAGTTTTGCAGTGTATCTCCCGCACATCACATGCTCTAAAGGCATCTTTGACTACTGGATTCTTAAAACGGTTGTCCTAGCCTTAACATTGATGAGGATGTACACAAGAGAGAGATTGGAAGGTTTGTCACAACTCTGAGTTTCACGTATTACTACGATTATCAGGCAAGTCACAGTAGTAGGCGGGTAGTAACACGTGAAACTCAGAGTTGTGACAAACCTTCCAATCTCTCTCTCTCTCTCTTGTGTACAAGGCTCTGGCCCTACACGGGTATTGAGCACTCTTCGGACAGTGAAGCAAACCACTTGATTACGTTGATGGGGATACCAAATTACAGTGATTTTTTTCTTTCTTGTATGTCCTGGTCAAATATAGCTGCTTTTCATAGACCCAATTATAGCACATTGCATGATTGAGCTGGTACACTCAACACCCAATAAGGGGGGGGGGGGAGGAAGTCTAGCAATATCGATAATTTTCAAGGAACGATAAAGTTTAGTTATGACCCTCCCCACCCACCCACCCACTCCCTTCAACGGAAATATAATTATTGATTACACAGCTAGAATTGATTGACGTTTCAGCTATCGATATTTTTCAAAACGAAACTCTCCTCAACCTACCCACCCATAAACGAAACTTTTTCTCTTTGTGAAAATTATCGATAATTACGGACGGCTCCTACATTGTAAGCCCGTTGTGCAATGACAGAATTTGTACCGCAAACACCCCACACAGCCACCTGGGCATGGTCGTCTGGTGTGTTGAACAGTGCATTGCTGATCCCAGCGTACTCACATAACACCCCACACAGCCACCTGGGCATTGTCGTCTGGTGTGTTGAACAGTGCATTGCTGATCCCAGCGTACTCACATAACACCCCACACAGCCACCTGGGCATGGTCGTCTGGGGTGTTGAACAGTGCATTGCTGATCCCAGCGTACTCACATAAACACCCCACACAGCCACCTGGGCATGGTCGTCTGGGGTGTTGAACAGTGCATTGCTGATCCCAGCGTACTCACATAACACCCCACACAGCCACCTGGGCATGGTCGTCTGGTGTGTTGAACAGTGCATTGCTGATCCCAGCGTACTCACATAACACCCCACACAGCCACCTGGGCATGGTCGCCTGGGGTGTTGAACAGTGCATTGCTGATCCCAGCGTACTCACATGCATTACTCATACCTTCCATATTTGGCAATGTGCAATGGGCACTAATAGTTGTTTGACCGTGTTGGTTTGTGTTTTGTTACATTCTCCCGTTGTTAACATGCAGAAACCTCACTGTTGCTGATGCAGGGCAACTCCCCGTCGCTTAGCCCCACAATCAGCAGGTCATCGATCCTCAGCAACGTGTCCACTGTTGGTAGCACCGCCAGCGCCAGCAGTGGCTATAGTGGCAAAACTGCCGTTGCCACGAGTAACGTCAATCAGCATATCGGCATGGAGTCAGGCTACTCGACTTGGCAGCAGGCACAGCATTATGATATATACGCGGCCACCGGCAGTACCAACGCCAGCAGCGGCGCATCAACGGCAAGAAATAGCACGGGAACCGTTGGCAGTAACCTAGCAAACGTTGGCAGTAGCATAGCAACCCGGGACAGTGGCGCAACACGGTCGCTCGAGGCCAGCATCGAGGCGTATGAGGAAACAGCTGGTGTGGCTCTATTGGCTGGCAATGCCGTTGGTACCTACAGTGATTCGCCATACGCAGCCGCATCGCCCTACACAGCCACGTACCACAGCATGTGCAGGGATGACATCTATGAAGCTATGGACTACGGCTGTCGGTTTGAACGGGCGTCACACGACGACGACGAAGACGACAGCCACGGCAGTGCTCAAGTGCCCGCGGCAGCCGCGGCGCGTCTGGACAGTGTCGTCGATGCCGTGAGAACGCACAGCTGGAACGTTCTGGTGTCGAAGAGCAGCACTGAGATACTGGCTGGTGGCGGTGCGGGTGGCAAAGCAACGGCGGACTGTGATTATGACATGTATGCCAAGACGAACAACGCCATGTCGGTCAATCAGGAGAAGCCGGCTCCAGGCAGCCGTGACGACAGCGAGGTGAGTGAACACGCGCTACTCGGCTCCGGTTCGGAGTACAGCTTGTACGGCATGTCGCAGGGTAACCACCAGGGCAATGCCAGCCTGAATCCAAGCGCCGTCCGCCAGAGCCTGGCAATGTCGGGCAGTTTTCCCGGCGACCAGAAAGAAGCGCACAGCAGTCCCAGATTGCTGGACACCAGTGCAGCAAACACCACCACTAGTAGTAGCAGAGGGAAGGAGGTGCGACTTTTCTCAATGCCTAGCACAATCCTGAGCGTTATAAGAGTCATGAGGCAGCTCGCTAAGCCAACGAAGCATGAGGCGGGCCAAAAGACGAGTGCAAAGCCACAAGGCAAAAGCACTGATGCCCACTCAAATAGTGACTTGAACAAGCATGGCTCGGCGACTGTCGAATGCAACACAGCGCAGTATGACCAACCACGCAGCAAAACAGCAGTTGGGCAAGCATCAACAAACCACTCTACTGCCCAGATGCGAAGGCAAGGTGCCATATCGAGCTGTGGCACGACCTCGGACAGCTGTGGGCCATCATGTAGCGAGCGATACTGCGACGTCTTCGAGAGAGAGTCCGGCGCCTTTGAAGTAACAACTGCACCAACACACTACAACCAGATATACCAAGCCCAGCCCAGAAGTTCTGTGTCAATGCAAGATACCATGCCACAGTTTCAAGCACCAGGCGAGCTGCCGACTGACTTGAAAACCAGTGGCAAAAGCAGCAGTGAAGTCAACAACCAACATCTTGCAGCCAACAAGCAATACAGCCATTTAGATGCGGCTGGGCGCTGTGAGGAAGCGAAGGGAGACTACAATAAGTCCTCAAACGTCAAGACGAGTAGTTCCCTTCACAACACCAAGCTATCAGATCTGATATTCGAACAAGATGAGCATGAAAAGCTGGGTATCACACCATCAAGAGACGTAGAACAAGACTCCATGGCTGTGAATCTCCTCTACCAACAGCAAGGACTTGGCAGTGACAAAGGAAAACTGCCACCTTACGTGAGAAGCAGCGGCGAAAGCAGCAGTGAAGTCAGCAACCAACATCGTGCAGCCAACCAGCAATACAGCCATTTAGATGTGGCTGGCAGCTTCGAGCAAGCGAATGGTGGCTACAATAAGTTGTCCAAAGTCACAACGAGTAGTACAAATTTCTCAGATTCGGTATATGAACAAGACGAGTATAGCAAGTTGGGTACCGCTTCGACAAGGGATTGTATCTAGCAGGATTCTGCAGCGACAGTGCTGTACACCACTCATTGACAACCCATTGTACAAACAGCAGCAGCCATCCTGAGTAGCCATTCCGGCAGTGAGCTTGTCTGCAGTCCTGGCGGTGAAGCATCAAGTGCTGTTGTATCTAGCAGGATTCTGCAGTGACAGTGCTGCACACCAATCTCAGATAACCCATTGTATGAACAGCAGATGTAGAAGACCATCCTGAGTAGATCGCTATCCTGAGTAGCCAATCCCTAGCACACCCCTAGCCTTAGCCTTTAGTGTGAGCCACACAACGCTAATTGTCATCGTCCATTACCTTTAGAAGATGGAGCCGAAGAACCTGTCCGAGGGATTCATTTCTGGAATGATTTTCAAAGTGTGTTGTGCAGGTTTAAGGTCATCTGCCTGTCGCCTGTCACGCATCCCAGCAATTGTCAATCACACAGAGACGGTCTGACTGAAACTTCTCCTCCCCCCACCCCCCCCCCCCCCACACACACACACACCACAGATACATACATACATGACTGCATACGATAATGCGAATCACACAGAGGCGATCTGACGGGAAATCCCCCCACCGACACCCACACACATACATGACTGCACACTGTAATAGCACATCACACCGGGTCCATCTGTCCAGAAATCCTCTACTTCCCTCTTCCCCCACTGCCACACACATCACCCACAAACACTCTCGTTTTACATCTGTCCACCTAGCACCTTCCCATTCTTCTTTCGTTTCTCACTGAATCTATTTTCTGGATGCCTTCATTGCCAAGAACGAAGATAACTCGCTTGGCAAACATTCACCTGTGTTATGTGGACATAGACCAAATGTACAGATACTAGTGCATTGATATTACAGTGGACCTATGAATGTCACCATGCTTGCATAAGAACACGAAACACATGACATGGCCGTATTGGCGAAGGTGCGATATTTCTTTTATAAGGGTACCTGGCTCATTGATTTAAAACGAGAGAGCTTGGAAGATCAGGGCCCTACGCTATGCTCTTTTGCCTAGCTAGCTCATTATTATTATTATTATTATTATTACTTTGAAGTATTATTTATCATCATGCATGTTATTAGAACTGAGGGAAGTGTGGTTTTTCCATTGATTGGCTACATCAAACTTTTCTCTTGGCATTCGAGGGTATACCGGTAATACGACACCGTCTACCACTTGAGTGACCGTTCCATATCCTTATTGACTTCTTTTTCCTTGGTGCAAGTCACACTCCATGTATGTTCTTCATTATCTTTACCTTTACTCGGTCTTCACATTGCCTATAGCCTCATCTCTTAACTTTCCTTTTTCCTTTTTGCCTCATCGGCGCTCTTTGAATTTGTGTGTCAACACTGTTGAGTTGTTCGATGTTAAAATAATAAAATACTACTAATAATAATACTACCTTTATGACCTAGGCAAACAAAGCATATGGATCTTTATTATTCTGCATTTCTCGGATTTTTTCTCAAGATATAACTTGGGATTCGAACCCGCACTATCGCCCTCCATGCATTTCCCCGATACACTTCGCATACATACTAATTCTTCCAAGTTGCTTCACATTCACAATCCTTAAATATAATAAAATACAAAAAATACAATACATTATGGTCTGGCATTTGAAAGCCCTATTTGAATATTGTGGCAGCTGTTTGTGGCTAGCTGTCTTTGATGGTACGGTACGGCACGGGACAGGTACGGGATAGCGTCAGGTACGTTACTGAAGCAACGTCTTCTGCATAGCATATTCCCCGGCAGCAAAGAGTTGTCATTGGGAACCGGCACAGCAAGGTATTCCAGCCCAGCAGTGGTGTGCCCCAGGGTTCCGCACTTGGTCCTCTGCTGTTTGTCCTCTATGTCCGTGGTGTGGCGACTGAAGTGCAACCGTATGGTGTGCGGACAGTTCAATTTGCAGATGACATCATGCTCTATATTAGTAGCAGCAAGAGTAGATGTTTATCTACTCTTGGTAGCAGGGACAAACATCTGCTGGAACGTAGTATGTCTTCTGCAGTTACACACCTGGCCAGATGGCTTGCCAGCAGGAACCTGGTACTAAACGAGAGTAAAACCCAGATTTTGTTCATCCCTGCCCATCGTTCTGTGAATCCTCGTGTCAGCGTTATGTGCTGTGGAGTTCAACTGGCACAAGTAGAATCCGCAAAGTATCTTGGTGTCCACATGGACCAAGATCTCAAGTGGACCATCATGGTCAACCAGATCGCCAAGCGAGCTGCCTGTAAAATAGCTGTCCTGTCTAGAAACAGGCGCTGCATGCCCCTCCCGTGCCGCATCACGCACATAAAGTCCCTGATCCTTCCTGACTTCCTGTATGCTAGTAACTGTTTCTCTGCGGGCCTCACCTCACATCAGCTCGAGCGCCTAGAGCGTCTACTCAAGCGCGCAGTCCGCTGTGTTTATAACGCTCCATTTGCATCCCATCTGCGCTGTTGTATTGCCAATTGCGCTTGCACTCGCTAGAAGTCATGTACTGCCACAAGCTCCTTGGCTACACTTGGCGCTGCCTTCAGGGTAAATGCAGCACATTGCTTACCGATATGTTCAGTTCTCTCAATGCCGGCCGTGCTACACGTAGTCAAGGAAATCGAGCACTTAAATTTCCAGTCACTAAGACATCCGCTGGCACACATTCTGCCTCATTCCAATGTGTATCACTGTGGAACAGGCTCCAGCCCGACATCAGGAAAATCCCACAGTACCGCTGATGACATCGATGTCGAGAATGCTTGTCGCAGACGTACTACTAGCTCCAGACGTGGAGCCTCCCAATCGTCTTCTCTTCAACAGCAGGCGTGCATGAAAAGAATGAGCTTAGATGGGTTTGATCTTGTTATGGGACGCGGCCTGCAACTAAACTAGGACAGAGGTGTGACCGCTGAAATGAAGTACAATTTGTCTCACTCTATGATTGTTTGTCGCAGCAGCCTGGTGGCCATGTTGACGGCTGCTGAGAAGAAATACAGTATAGCACTTCGCAGCCGAATATAATCCGAAGTAGGGTAAATCTATGATGAATTTCCACGAATAATTTGCACGTATGGATGCAGTGAAAGGGATTATCGGTCTTTCACAACTGTGTGGTGGGTCTGATCTACTCACCTTCCACGGCATAGGAGCTGAATCGCGCTTTGATCCTAGAGGGTTTTGTCGTTCCTGCGGATGCTGAAAACTTGGCCTCCAGCCGAGTGTCACGTGAACTGTGGTATTTTTTTGCACCTACTAGTATTGTATGACACGTTTGCGTGCAATGTTTTAGAAAAATTGTTTTCTCCTCACACTGGATCTCGCGCTAGTTTGAGTTAGTTTGAGTTACCTTTGAAAATTATCATGTTCAACTGCCTTCGTAATCGTCATACTCGTCCAACCGATGTCACCCTCACCCTGCGAAAAATCAGCTCATCTCTCCCGTAGCTCCACCTCTCCTTCCACCATGACCGAACATCACCTATACCTCATATTTTTAATTATGAGAACAATAACCATAGCTTGCACAGTCTATGGTCTCGATCCAGCGCGTTTCTCTGCACACCTTTTCGTTGCGAAGTAGTTTGTGAAAATGAAGAAAGTTGCGATTTCTTGCAAAAACAACGGAAAGTTGCGAAAAAAGTGGCAAGCATCTTTGGAAAAGGGCTACTCTGAACCCTTTACCATGCGGACCACCAGCACTGATCAGGTGCATTGTACACAATTGTGTAGCTTACATACTGGAATTGTGGTACAACCATGTAGTTATGCTCCTACCTCCGAAAGGATGTCTCATTATGCTCCAGATTTTCAACCTCCAAATTATGTCAATAATTATGCCGGCATAATCCGCTTGACTTGCGTACAAAACACTCGCACCGTTGCATATTGAACTCAAACACACACAACACATCGTGAAGCCTGAACAGTACGGATGGGTATCAGTGGCCACTTGTTTCAAGAACAACAGTGAAAACTAGGGTGCAATGCGGTGAATACCGTGACGTGAACTGCTAAGTTCCCAAGTTAGATAGAAGTACAGCAGCTTGTACAATGAGAAAATTATAACGAATTACTGCCTTTTCACACAGTTTGTCACATGTCGCAAATATGGACAATAAAATGTCTCACAATGCGCCATGAGACACGTTTCCACACTTCACACACTGGTCGGAGTAGTGCCTGTGAAATCAGCAGCTACCCGTCCTCCCAGTACATGCGGAAATAGGGTTAGCTAGTAATAAAAGGGGATACTGATAATTCTCAGTAAAATCCTACATCACTGCCCAGATAACCACCCACTCGCCGTGTAGCGAATGTCCCAGCGTTTTGGGGAATTATTTCCAAGAGTAGAGTTTGCCACAATGACAAACCCTCGTGGAAGAGTTACACTCTAGTGTGCAGGCAGTCCACCCCAGTGAACAGTGAAGACTACCAGTACATACAAAGACTTTAGTGTAGATAGCCATATCTAGAGTCCAACATCATCCACACCAAACTAACCGGCCAAGTGTTACTCCATACAGCATTCACGGCAGTTCAGCATGCTTGCCAGTTGAGCGGCTGCTTTTTCAAAGGCGCACGGGCTGTCGGGCAAGTGCTTCCTGCAGTCACCACCTTCCTCTCCGTACGGCTACCTTTCTTTCCATACAGTGCTCGTATGCTATAGGGTAGCGTGATGCCTTAGTCACCAATATTCTCTCTTCGAAGCCACTGGTCCTCTCCGCAACGACGAGAATGCTTGTCCCAGACGTCCATGCGTCGCCGTATGCTTTCGTTTCCAGCGTAACATCTTGTGCCGGGCCAACTTCCTATCGAATCTTGAGTGACGAAAACGAGTGAAGTGAGCTGAGACAGAGTGAGCGAGTGAAATCTGACGTCAATTAAAATATGAACCTGTTTTATTTGGCTGTCTCAGTGGTTAGTAGCATAGCCAGCTGCAGTCCTGTTTGGAAGGAAGTGGTGAAGGGAGATCATGATTGTCTTCTGCCATCATTCAGCTGCCAGAAATCTCGCTGCATTGACGATACTACTAGCTCCAGACGTGGAGCCTCCCAATCGTCTTCTCTTCAACAGCAGGCGTGCATGAAAAGAATGAGCTTAGATGGGTTTGATCTTGTTATGGGACGCGGCCTGCAACTAAACTAGGACAGAGGTGTGACCGCTGAAATGAAGTACAATTTGTCTCACTCTATGATTGTTTGTCGCAGCAGCCTGGTGGCCATGTTGACGGCTGCTGAGAAGAAATACGGTATAGCACTTCGCAGCCGAATGTAATCCGAAGTAGGGTAAATCTATGGTGAATTTCCACGAATAATTTGCACGTATGGATGCAGTGAAAGGGATTATCGGTCTTTCACAACTGTGTGGTGGATCTGATCTACTCACCTTCCACGGCATAGGAGCTGAATCGCGCTTGGATCCTAGAGGGTTTTGTCGTTCCTGCGGATGCTGAAAACTTGGCCTCCAGCCGAGTGTCACGTGAACTGTGGTATTTTTTTGCATCTACTAGTATTGTATGACACGTTTGCGTGCAATGTTTTAGAAAAATTGTTTTCTCCTCACACTGGATCTCGCGCTTAACCCCCCCCCCCCCCCCCCAACTTGACCTGACACTTCACTGATTCACCACTGGCATCCAGAGAACTAAAGAAGTTTTATCGAACCTTTGACGTCTTTTCCCGCGAAAATGGCGGATTCTGCTCGAAACGCAGTGCATTTGGCAGAACCATACAAACCCTATGGCAGGCACTTCCTTGAATTCTGCTCAATTTCTTTATCCACATACCAAACATGCATGAAACATTCCAGAAAAGCCTTATCAAATCTTGCTGATATGTCGTGGTGGGACGATCTACTCACCACCCACTGCTTTAGGAGCTGCATCTGCCCCCTTACTCCTTAGTAGGCTCCGGCGGATTATGCTCGCGAAATCATGGAATTATGCTTTCATGGATTCTCGCATTATGCTTGCGAAATCCTCATATTATGCTTTGGCACTCAGGGATACATACTCACTTTGTTGTACTTATGGAGCCTCAAAGTTCGGAAAATTGTGCCTTTTCGTACTTGCAAGTGGCCATTAGTACAACAAAATACATGAATATCCCCATACCAAGATGACCATGCATGCTAGAGATCAACATGGAAAGAGAAAACATGACTCCTTCTATTCATTACTTGATTTCTTTTGTAAACAGATTTTTTATTGCTAAATTAGTTTGAGTTACCTTTGAAAATTATCATGTTCAACTGCCTTCGTAATCGTCATACTCGTCCAACCGATGTCACCCTCACCCTGCGAAAAATCAGCTCATCTCTCCCGTAGCTCCACCTCTCCTTCCACCATGACCGAACATCACCTATACCTCATATTTTTAATTATTAGAACAATAACCATAGCTTGCACAGTCGATGGTCTCGATCCAGCGCGCTTCTCTGCACACCTTTTCGTTGCGAAGTAGTTTGTGAAAATGAAGAAAGTTGCGATTTCTTGCAAAAACAACGGAAAGTTGCGAAAAAAAGTGGCAAGCATCTTTGGAAAAGGGCTACTCTGAACCCTTTGCCATGCGGACCACCAGCACTGATCAGATGCATTGTACACAATTGTGTAGCTTACATACTGGAATTGTGGTACAACCATGTAGTTATGCTCCTACCTCCGAAAGGATGTCTCATTATGCTCCAGATTTTCAACCTCCAAATTATGTCAATAATTATGCCGGCATAATCCGCTTGACTTGCGTACAAAACACTCGCACTAGGGCTTGGCGGATAATGCCGGCAGAAAAATTGGCAGAATTCGGTACTTTTTCTGGTAAGTTTCATGCATGTTTGGTATGTGGATAAAGAAATGGAGCAGAATTCGAGGAATTGCCCGCCATAAGGTTTGTATGGTTCTGCCAATTTCGGTACAAAAAAAGCAGAATCTGCCACCTTTTCGAGCATTATCCGCCAAGGCCTAACTCGCACCGTTGCATATTGAACTCAAACACACACAACACATCGTGAAGCCTGAACAGTACGGATGGGTATCAGTGGCCACTTGTTTCAAGAACAACAGTGAAAACTAGGGTGCAATGCGGTGAATACCGTGACGTGAACTGCTAAGTTCCCAAGTTAGATAGAAGTACAGCAGCTTGTACAATGAGAAAATTATAACGAATTACTGCCATTTCACACAGTTTGTCACATGTCGCAAATATGGACAATAAAATGTCTCACAATGCGCCATGAGACACGTTTCCACACTTCACACACTGGTCGGAGTAGTGCCTGTGAAATCAGCAGCTACCCGTCCTCCCAGTACATGCGGAAATAGGGTTAGCTAGTAATAAAAGGGGATACTGATAATTCTCAGTAAAATCCTACATCACTGCCCAGATAACCACCCACTCGCCGTGTAGCGAATGTCCCAGCGTTTTGGGGAATTATTTCCAAGAGTAGAGTTTGCCACAATGACAAACCCTCGTGGAAGAGTTACACTCTAGTGTGCAGGCAGTCCACCCCAGTGAACAGTGAAGACTACCAGTACATACAAAGACTTTAGTGTAGATAGCCATATCTAGAGTCCAACATCATCCACACCAAACTAACCGGCCAAGTGTTACTCCATACAGCATTCACGGCAGTTCAGCATGCTTGCCAGTTGAGCGGCTGCTTTTTCAAAGGCGCACGGGCTGTCGGGCAAGTGCTTCCTGCAGTCACCACCTTCCTCTCCGTACGGCTACCTTTCTTTCCATACAGTGCTCGTATGCTATAGGGTAGCGTGATGCCTTAGTCATCAATATTCTCTCTTCGAAGCCACTGGTCCTCTCCGCAACGACGAGAATGCTTGTCCCAGACGTCCACGCGTCGCCGTATGCTTTCGTTTCCAGCGTAACATCTTGTGCCGGGCCAACTTGCTATCGAAACTTGAGTGACGAAAACGAGTGAAGTGAGCTGAGACAGAGTGAGCGAGTGAAATCTGACGTCAATTAAAATATGAACCTGTTTTATTTGGCTGTCTCACTGGTTAATAGCGTAGCCAGCTGCAGTCCTGTTTGGAAGGAAGTGGTGACGAGAGATCATGATTGTCTTCTGCCATCATTCCGCTGCCAGAAATCTCGCTGCATTGACGATACTACTAGCTCCAGACGTGGAGCCTCCCAATCGTCTTCTCTTCAACAGCAGGCGTGCATGAAAAGAATGTGCTTAGACAGGTTTGATTTTGTTATGGGACGCGGTCTGCAACTAAACTAGGACAGAGGTGTGACCGCTGAAATGAAGTACAATTTGTCTCACTCTATGATTGTTTGTCGCAGCAGCCTGGTGACTATGTTAACGGCTGTGTGCAAGAAAAATAGCCCTTATCAGCCGCATGTAGTCCGAAGTATGGTAATTCTATGGTGCATTTCTACGAATAATTTGCACGTATGATGGATGCAGTGAAAGGAATTATTGGTCTTTGACAACTGTGTGGTGGGTCTGATCTACTCACCTTCCAAGGCATAGGAGCTGCATCGCGCCTTGATCCTAGACTAGAGGGTTGTGGCGTTTCTGCGGATGCGGATGCGGAAAACTTGGCCTCCAGCCGAGTTTTAGGCGACCAGTGGTTTGTTGTTGCACCTACATGAACATGTACTAGCATTGCATGACACGATTGCGTACATTTCTTGGGAAAGGCGTTTGCTCCTCACACCAGGGCTCGCGCTTTCTCGCCAACATGACTGGACACTTCACTGATTCACCACTGCCATCCAGAGCACTAGAGAAGTCATTATGGAACCTTTGTCTTCTTATCTCTCGAAAATGGCAGATTCTGCTCGACAAGCAGTGCATTTGGGAGAACCATACAAACCTTATGGCAGGCACTTCCTTGAATTCTGCTCAATTTCTTCATCCACATACCAAACATGCATGAAACATTCCAGAAAAAGCCTTATCAAATCTTGCCGATAAGTCGTGGTTGGACGATCTACTCACCTCCCACTTCTTTAGGAGCTGCATCTGCCCCTTAGGTCTGTACAGGTATCTGTACATGTTTTTGATTTGGTTCTTTCTTCATGGTTTTACGCAATCTGTGTTGTGAAAAAGCCCGTTTTCAAGCAGTACATGTCCATGTCCATGTACATATAACATTGTTCTGTAGTGTGTTGCACCCGAGCTGAAACACTTTGTTCCTTTTCTGAAGGATTTATTGTTGTTATACCTTGGTCAGTGATCGACCTCGAATATAGGTTGCCTGATTTCTCACTTCTCTAAACAAATCGTCTTCTCAGCTGTAAACATTGCTACCAAGAGTCTCTCGCTCTGGCGCCACAGGCTATACGCTGTTTAGGAGCCGGAGACCCATAAACAGGGGAAGTGGACCCAATTCATCAGCACGCTGCTCCCGATCTCCCCTGTTTTGTCATGTCTTGCCCTTGGTTCTGTCTTCCGCAGCATTACGTTCTCTGCTGGACTGTGACCTTCAGTATAATTACTACACTCATGTGCAAATTTAAAAAAATGACTTTTAGTACATACAGACCATACACATCCACTCCGCAGTTTTTACTCTGTGTCTAATTCCAAGTTGGAATGTCGAGGGACCAGGTGACTTGCGTACAAAACGCTCGCACCCGTGCATATACAACTCAAACGCACAAAACACATCATCAAGCCTGAACAGTACGCATGGGTATCAGTGGCCACTTGTTTCAACGACAACCGTGATGAGTGAAATAGAACCAGGGAGCAATGCAGTGAATACCGTGATGTGAACCACACAATTGCCTAATTAAATAGAAGCACAGCAACTGGAACAATGGGAAAATTAGTCAGGATTACTGCCACTTCAAAGAGACAATTTGTCACATGTCGAAAATATGGACAATGAACAAAATCTCACAATGCCCATGTGACACGTTTGCACACTTCACACGTACTGGTCATGTCGTGCCAGTGAATTCAGCAGCTACCCGTCCTCCCAGTACATGCGGAAATAGGGTTAGCTAGTGATGAAAGAAATGATGGCAATTTCCAGAAAATTCTCCATTACTGAGAAGATCACCTCTAACTCCCCCTATGGGAACGTCCCAGGTTTTTTGGGGAATTTACACGATACCAGTTTTCCACGATAACAAGCCTTTGTGGAAGAGTTACACTCTTGTGTGCAGGCAGTCCACCCCAGTGAACAGTGAAGACTAGCAGTACATACAAAGACTTTAGTTTAGGTAGCTAATAGCTATGTCTGGAGTCCAACATCATCCACACCAAACTACGCAGCCAAGTGTTACTCCACACAGCATTCACGGCAGTTCAGCATGCTTGCCAGTTGAGCGGCTGCTTTTTGAAAGGCGTACAGTCGGTTGGTTAAGTGCTGCATACAGCTATCATCTTTTCTCTCCATACGGCTACCTTTTCTCTTCATACTGTGCTGGTATCCTGCAGGGTAGCGTAATGCCTTAGTCGTCAATATTCTCTCTTCGAAGCCACCAGTCATCTCCGCAACAATGAGGAGGCTTGTCGCAGACGTCCACGCTCCGACGAATGCTATCATTTCCAGCGTAACATCTTGTGCCGGGCCAGTTTCCTATTGAAACTTGAGTGACGAAAACGGACGAGGTGATCTGAGACAGAGTGAGCGAGTGAATTCGGACGTCAAAATAATATTAAAAATGTTTTAAAACCACTTTCTTGACTGGTGAGAAGCATAGCCAGCTGCAGTCCTTTTCGGCAGGAAGTAGTGACGGTTGTTCATAATGGTCTTCCTCCATCAGTCAGCTGCCAGCCAACTCGCTGCAGTGGCGATACTACTAGCTCCAGACTTGGAGCTTCCCAATCGTTTTCTCTTCACCAGCAGGCATGCATTAAAAGAATGAGCTTAGACTGGTTTGATTTTATTGTGGGACGCGCCTACACCTTGGACAGACGTGTGAGGGCGGTCATGAAGTGTAACTTGTTTCATTCTCTGATGGTTAGTCGCAAACGGTGACCATGTTGGCGGCTGGTGGAAGGAAAAGATAGCACTTCCCAGCTGCGGAATCAGCTCAGATTGGGAGAAGAAGCTGGGAGGCCACGTCCACCGAGCTAGCGATTCGGGTGTTTGCGCTTCGTTCCAGTCGACGACGTTTTTGACGAACATCTCTGCTGCGCACATGAGCGAGAACGAAAGGCTGTGGAGATCTTGACTTTAGTCAACAGTTTGGAAGGATCTATCGTCAATTACATCCTTGATATGACTTGCATCGCGCGTGCTTGACTCAAACTTCGAGAAAAAACGGATTTCTTTCAATCCAGGAGCGAACCAGAGCTAGAGATCTCTCTTTGGATACTCTCCACTGAAGAAAGAGAGAATAATGTATTTTGAACTGCATGCAAAGCAACTCTCTCTCTCAATTCGAAATAGTCACAGTACATGTACATGTACTGTAAACTGACCGTCGATCGACGAGTAGGCAGGATAACCAATCCAGCAGGCACGCTTTTACCCGAAAAAAGGTGGTTTCCAGACGCCAAAAACTCATACCGTGCACGCGCCTGTCTACCGTCACCTCCTCGCACATCGACCACCCCAGATTCGTAGAATCATCTGTCATGCAGGCAAAGTAAAAATGGTAGCGTCTCCTTGCACGACGTTGTTGCCTGGTGCTCCGTGCAGCTACTTGGACGCAAACCTGCCCGTGATCCATGGCGTCCGACGAGCAGAAGTTGCCAGCTTCTGTCCGAACTGCCCGTGATTTGCTGGCTAAGGCAGTCGAGAAGGCTGGTATTCAGATAAGCGGTGGACTTGCCAGCGATGCCAAAATCCCATTGAAGGACATTTTTGTGAACTTGACGTTGCTGACAAAGGCCGAACTTTCCAAGCTTTTCAGTAACGAGTCATCGTCCTTTTCGTCTGGTTCTGAACGAGCACGCCACCTGGAATTGTTCTCAGAGGCTCAGCCACAAAGGGTAGCTACTGCCGAGTGTGGCATTGAACTGGAAGATATTTTCTCCGATACCAGCGACTGGTCTTGCAATGAAGGGGCCGCGCCACGCCCGGGCTGTGACCATGAGGTAGCTGATTCGGGTTTACTGGCGCGTGCAAAAGAACCCGTGGAAGCGAACAAGAAGAATGTACTAGCGTTTGGAAGCGCTGGCTGTGGCAAATCCACGATCTTTCTGATCATGCTGGAATACCTCTGGTCTAAAGGTGAGCTGTGGCGTGGAAAGTTTGATCTGGTATTGGCAGTGGAACTACGACGTGCCGAGGTGCAAGCTTCTACGAGCTTGTGCGACCTGCTGGCACGTCGATTCTCCAGTCTGGATGTGGAGAAAGATGAGCTGTTGGAGATGTCACGGTTCTTTCGCAGCAACCAGTCCCGTCTTTGCATTGTGCTAGACGGGCTGGATGAGTGCAAGTTGGAGAACTGCAGTGAATACATGCGTGATCTACTGTTGAGAAGGCGTAGTGGTGATATGCATGTCGTGGTGACGTCTCGACCATGTACTGATGCTCATACCCTGTCGCAGAGTGGAGAGTATCAACAGCAAGTGGAGGTGGTTGGATTCTCACCAGACAACGTTGAAACGTACGTGAGGAAAGTGGTGGGCGGTGTGAAAGGCGAGGCTATGCTGGAGAAGCTCCGCTCACAACAGAGCACAATGTCGCTGATGGGCACACCTCTGTTTGCTGCCCTGGCCTGTGAATTGTTCATGGACGACCGAGACGGTAGCAAATTGCCGGAATCCAGTACAGGTCTGTACGAGTCGCTTGTCCGCCGTGTCATGGAACGACGTGCGGGCAAACGCTACAAGACGCTTTCCGCCATCAAGACGGACGAGATTGAAGTGTTGAAGGAGCTATCAGGCTTTGCACTATCTATGCTAGCTCAGCAAAAGATGGTGTTCAACGAGGAGGATGTCATTTCGGCAAAACTAAGTGCGCCTGCAATTGAATTAGGATTGCTTATGGCGTACGAGAGCACCAGCTCAACAGAAGACCGGCAATATCGATTTGCTCACTTGTCCATTCAGGAGTTCTTGGCGGCCTGGTACGTGTATAGCGTGATGTTGAACGACGAGAACGACGCTGTGTGGCTGGTGAGGAGAGTCGGCCATTACAGCGGTCACATGACCATGTTCTGGCGTTTCCTGATCGCGCTCACACCGCCAAAGCCAGCAGTCGCCATCATGGTGCATCTGTGGCGGATAATCTGCGATGACGAGCGTACACAACGTGCATGCAGCCAGACTGATACACGCCTGCTCGACGACATTGTCAGCCGTTCCCAGCCAACCACGCAGAGCAACGACGTAGACCGTATCCACGCCGTGCTAAAATCGGCGCTGTGGTATGAGAAGATGAAAGACCTCGCCGATCAGCTGCTGGTTGGCACTGCCGGGCAAGGACGTGGTCGTCAGCGTGTCGAAAATGCTCTGCCACGAGGCAGGGAGTTGACGGACGACTTGTACCTGGATACTCTTGTAAGCGTATGGAAGAACGAGGCAGCGGAGACGAGTGCAGAGGTGTTCCTGTCGGCTGTGCGTAAAGTCGATCCCGGGACTGCATCGCATTGTGAGCAGCATGCGATGACAAGCGCAACATCGGAGATATCGACGCCATCGTCATTTGGAGCTGCCCCGGCTGCTACTGCTGCACCCATACGGCCTCCTGCACAACATGACGAGGAAGAACGCCGTTGCCAAGCTGATTTGTTAGTAGCTTATCTAGAGCACTGCCAGCATCAAGGTACGTCATCTTGTAATGGGCATTGTCCATTCTCCTCTCGGCTCTTTTCACTGAATTTTTGTCATTTGCAACTCAGCCTGTTAGATTGCACTGCCATTGCTCATTTCCTCACAACCCATTTTTGCGTGGACGTGCAGGAAGTGCACCTTGTGGCTTGTGGCTTAACCAGCATTGCTATGCGCTGCATTCGCTTGGCACGCTACAAACATGTACGTGTGCTCTCTTTGCATAGGAATGACTGTACCGATGGTAATGTCTTTTCATCAGCCTTTTTGTCCGCATCGTCCAGCCTTGAGCAAGTGGATTTAGATTTAAATGAAGTTGGCATCGACGGCTTTGCTTTGGTCTGCCGAGCGCTGAGTTCATGTAGGAAGTTGCGGATTGTTTCACTTGATTTGTTATGCAGTGAGCGCGGTGCTGATGTGCCGCTGACGTCCATTCTGGAAATTCTCCAGTCTAACAGGAACCTGGAAGTACTGTATGCCCTAGGATATTCCTTCACGTATGGTCCTAAATCGGAGGAACGATGTGCACTAGCCCAGTTCGCACAGGCTGTTCGCCAGTGTAGCAATCTTAGTACGCTCCGCTTTTCTTCACGGTATGGGGATAACAGCAGGTTGGTGTCCGAGCTACAGCCCCTGGTAGATGATCCCGAATGTGCTCTCCGGCGTATTGGAGAGTTCTGATTGAAACGCTCACACTGTACAGTTGCCATGGTTATAGCCAGCACCAGCCGGCACAGATTCTCTTTGACACAGAATATTTCACTCTTTCTTTTTCAGAAGTTGATTTTCCAGCCGCTACAGGTAACTGCTTGCCTATAACGGGGCAGTGCAAATCCCATTTTCCTCTTGCCCAGGCCAAACACTGAGTTGATGGTATGAGCTTTTCCTGCCAGTGGTGCCTGTCTATATAGTAGATAATTTTCAAAAACGTTTCAATCTTTTCTCAATTGTTGAGCGCTGCCATGCTGATAACACTGCCTGCAATACAAAAATATTATTTTGAGTGTCTTGTACTGAGACGATGTTTTCACTCCATTTCCTTGTCTCTTCTGTGTTTCCTGAATTACACTGACAGTTGGCTGTGTGCAGTCTACCGGTATGCAGACTGTATGTTTGTTTGTGAAGAACACGTGGAGTGATTCACATGAATCTCAATCACTGGCATTATGCATGGGTTAACATTGTGTGTGGTATGACGGAGGAAGGTTTTTACCTGGCTCCTGTTACACCGGCACAGCACACACTCTTGTGGATAGTATTATTATGCATGTGTGTGTGTGGGGGGGGGGGGAGTAGGAGTTTCCGAGTGAACTGGCTAATGATTGCGTTGGACTTCACGGACGTGCTCTTACAATTTGTGAGCCGAGGGGGGGGGCAAGAATTAGGGGGAAGCAACGAACATACGTGTGTGTGCGTGTCTGTGTGTAAGTGTTCTACCACGAGGAGAGAGAGAGAGAGAGATATGTATAGAGTGCTGATTGGAATGTGCTCACAGTCTCAATAATTCAGTCCGATAATTATTTGAACAATGTGTGGGAAATTATTTCACTTTTCCTTACCTAAATGTTGTATAGGAATGGGTTTGCTCCCACACTGGAACTCGCGCTATTCCGCCGACGGCTTGACACTTGACTGACTCACGACTGCCATCCAGAGAACACGAGAAGTCCATCGAACCTTTGACTCGGCAAACCTGCAAGAAGGCATCACTCCCTGCTCAATACACAGTGTTTCGGGGAATTCACCCCTCATCAGTTGAGCTTGAGTAGGCTGAGGAAGATTGTGCCTGAAGAGCACCACTTACATAGTGCTGTCCAGGCACAAACATCACCAGGGATACAAACTTAGAGAGACACTCCGTTTCCAGCGCGACAAACACCACGTGAACACCAGATAACAGCGTGAGTCAGTTATCGCTCCTGGACGGTGAGAACAGACGTAGAGGACCCTACGTCATTCACAACGCTGTCACCTCCAAACCAGCTTGTCTCACGCCCGCGATGGGCACAACAGTACGAAATAGAGGTTGCGACTTCGGCCCCCATTCCTAAACAAAATCATCACCGAAGTCGCAACCTCTTTTTCGTGAATGTTGCATCCACGAATAATCCACAGTGCTGCAAAGTTTCAGAGTTCTCAGGGTTTCAAGCAAAATATTTCAAATACAATGAAATTGTTAGTGGACATTATAGCGTAGCCTGCAGTTCGGTCCTTTTCTTTGCTATAAATTTATCCTTGGCTCTCTATACGAGTCTAACAGTGATATTGTTAGTTCATATTTTATAATGTGGGTGGCCGGGGGGGGGGGGGGGGGGGGGGTGGTGGGGGGTTGAAAATATTTCTATCAAGGGACCTGCAACTGTAATACAATAGTACAATAGCCAACAAATATGTAGAAAACAGAAATGCATGTTACCGTCATTGCACATGGACGGGCGCAGCAGACCGAAGCTATCCGCCAGAACAGGACGATTTTGCAATCACCTACAGATATTTGAACTACTCCAGTATTCTCCGTGAGCTGTCCCATCATTCTACAATGGTTCATGCCACCATTATTTCTACAATGGTTCATGCCACCATTATTTCTACAATGGTTCATGCCACCATTATTTCTACAATGGTTCATGCCACCATTATTTCTACAATGGTTCATGCGGATTGCCACCATTATTTCTGGCACATGTAGTATCCATGGCAACATTCCAAGACCATCTCGGATTCTTCTGCAATTTGTGCCGCAGCCAAAGTATATAACAATGCTTGACTCCATCACTGGGGTTGTCAAACTGCCCATGACAAACGAACTTCGATTTCTCATCTGTTACATTTACTTCATTTTGGTGGCTATACCATTACTATACCCACCTTACGCAGCCAAATGCCGGCTTGAAATATCGTTATATCGTTATATCGATTGTTAAGCTATAAGTGTTATCGTTAAGCAGTTTTTGCATAATTATCGTTTCAGCCCTAGTATATGTACTGCCATGACTTGAGCATGCTTTATCCACAGCTGGGCGAAGAATGTGGTGTTGAATTCCATAGCGCACTTATTGCACTGGCAACACTGGCCGTCAGGGACGCCGATCGCGGAGTTGCCCTTTGCGGCCACCACTGTGGAGAGAGCTACCAAGTCTACTTGTGCAAAGTTCGCGAAACTCGGGGGAAAGCAGGAGCAGAAAATTCAAACTCTACGTCACGGGACCATCATCCAAAGAACGAAATCGAGTTTTTTTGTAAACGAATCGAACATTCCAAATTTTGAAGGACGCTTCACGCAGCTTCATTACAGTTGAATAGTTTGCAGGCAAGCTGCATACACCCAAGGGAGCACTGCACTTCACACAAATCCATTAGAGGTATAGTTTCAACATTTCGGTCTTCATGACCATCACCCGGAATGAAATGGATATGGACAAGTGAACAAGTTTGAATCGAATATTCTATACCAAAAGAATCTTAGAAAAGATTTGGCTAGTCTCGGTTGTTCTTGACCAAGTTCTAGACCAAGTTGATGTCTAGTGAAGTCATGTCCACCACTCTTGTGAGCCATAGTCTCCTTTCTCAACACATAACACATGTACATATCACTCCATCCGTTCAAGAATTACTACAATAGATCGACACCAGAGCAGAGTGTGTGCACGTGTCAAAACGAATGAATATTCTAAATGGGAAAATATGCCCTCCATCGGGTTCGAAACGAATATCAATCGAATATTCGAATATTCCTTGCAACTCGAATTTTATTATCCACACACCAAACACGCAAGAAACAAACCAGAGAAAGTTCCGGATTCTGCCATATTTTCTGCTTTTTGGTTATTAATTTTTACTCTTGGTAATACTGTGTGTACTACAGGTCTGTAGGGTGCTGCACCCGGGCTGAAACGCTTGGTTCTCTTTCTGAGCCACTTGTTGGGGTTTTTTTTCATTTCTAGTTATCTACCTCCAATATCAGTTGCCTACTTTCTCACTTCCCTAAAGAAATTTACATCTCCCCTATTAACATTGCTACCAAGTGTCTATCAAGCCACAGGCTATACGCTGTCTATGAGCCGGAGACACGTAATCAAGGAAAGAAGACCCAATTCATCTGCACACTGCTCCCGATCCCCCACTGTATTATCATGTCTTCTACTGTCGTGGACATGGACATCCGGTCCCACGTCTAGCGGCCCCAGGGCGCTGGCCATGCAGCCGTAGCACGTATCACTGCTGCTGGTCGCATGATCCTCGCATCGGATCAACATGATTGTGCACGGCATGCAACGACTTACGTTCTGTAGGCGCTGAGGGCGCCGGCCCCGGTCAATCGACCGGATTTCCATGTCCGGTACAGTAGTTGGGTCAGTCTTCCCCGGCATCATGTTCTCTACTGGATTGTGCACTTCAGTATATTTAAAACAAATTAAAAAAATAAACAAACTGACTCTTGGTACACACAGTCCATACTCATCCAGTCCATAGTTCTTAATTTGTGTCTGATTCGGTGTTGAAATCCCCACTTTTATGTTTATGTATCTATGTCATTCGGATCTTCCCAAGTTGTACAATGTACTGTTGAGATACCGAATTCAAATAAATCAATACCATACCATACCAAATGTCCAGGGAACAGGTGACTTGCGTACAAAACACTCGCAGACGTGCAACTTCAACTCAAACGCACAATACACATCGTCAGGCTTGAAAAGTACGGATGGGTATCAGTGGCCCCTTGTTACCAGGATAACAACAGTGAAATAGAACTGTGCAATGCGGTGAATACCGTGACATTGAGAAAATATTAACGAATTACTGCCTTTCCAAAGAGGCAGTTTGTCACAAGTCGCCAATTTGGACTATAAGAAAGTCTCACGATGTCCACTTGACACGTTTCCACAGTTTACAAGTGTTGGTCAGAGTAGTGCCAGTGAAATCAGCAGCTACCCGTCCACCCAGTACTTGTACATGCGGAAATAGGGTTCGCTAGTGATAAAAGGAACAATGATAATTATCAGTAAAGTCATAATCCACTACGCAGTTAACCCCAATCGCCATGTAACGAACGTCCCAGTATTTTCGGGATTTTCAAAGATTAAACGTTGCCACGGGAACAATGACAAAATTAATCCTTGTGGACGAGTTACACTCTAGTGTACAGGCAGTCCACCGCAGTGAAAGGTGAAGACTACCTGCAGAAATAAAGACTTTAGTTTAGGTAGTTATGTCTAGAGTCCAACATCATCCACACCAAACTAACCGGCCAAGTGTTATTCCATACAGCATTCATGACAGTTCAGCATGCTTGACAGTTGAGCAGCTGCTTTTGCAAAGGCGTACAGCCGGTTAGTTAAGTGCTTCATACAGCTACATGTACCACCTTTTCTCTACATACAATGCTGGTATGCTAGAGGGTAGTTTGATGCTTTTGTCGTCAATATTCTCTCTTCAAAGCGACGGCGAGAATACTTATCGCAGACGTCCATGCGACGGCGAATGCCTTCGTTTGCAGCGTGATATCTTGTGCC